TAACACCTCCTCCTGCCTTTTGTTTCCCCTGATCAACGTCGCTCGCTGCTGTGTTACGCTCTGACCCCACCCCGCGCGCGATTTCGATCAGTGGGCCGAGGTCGCTCTCCTCCTGGTCTCCCAACGGCTCGCCAACGCCCTCGAACCAAGGCCACAGCCGCCGCGGGCCCAGGACGACGAGACTAACAATGGCGGCGGAGGCGTTACTGCGGCAGGGAACGGCAGCACGGAGGCCGGCGAGGTCCGAGAAAGCTGCCGAGGCATGGCGGCACGCCTGTCCGAGCTGGACCCGATGCACGGCCGTTTCTACGAGTTTGTGGAGAAGGGCGGGACTGTGATGGGGGGACAGCAGATGCGAGGCTCGGCGCGCGAGGCAGACAGATAGGGGGCTGGCATGTCAAAGCGGCTGTTACGCTTTAAGAAGGAATGGTATCCGGAGGGTGATCGGGGAGTGAGTTGTGCGGGAATGAGTCCGGAGACGGCAGGCGGCAGCGGCAAGAAGCCCTACGGCTTTCAGAGTAGAAGCTGAGGTTTGCATAGATGGGCGTAAAGCGCCCACCGGACAACTCGAGCGGTTTCGCTATCCTGCGAAATAAAGCTGACTGCCTCCTTCAAAAAATCCACGGCTATTTGTTATTCGTTGGTCTCTTCCGCTGGACCTAAGACTGAACGGTCAAGAGAACATCGTCCCGTATAGGGCGTTGGGGATGGCGGACCCGAGGCTCTACCGAGCAGTAGAGCCCTTGTCAAACTCGCTTGAGGACGGAGGACGGAGGCAACAATGTGGTGCGTGACGTTGAGGGTGCATCGGGTCTAGGGGCTCGTCCTGAGCGAGGCTTGAGAGAGTCCTTCATCCCGATGCCCGATGGGCGCAGTGAGAGCGGGGGAAGGTTCTGCGGCAACAGCATTTAGAGGATATTGCGGCGTACAGGGAACTGCAGGGGGAGAGGTTCGGCTACCTTGCAATATCGGGGGCGGAAAGGGCCGTTGCGAGACGACACGCCTTTGGGTGTGGAGCACGTGCTCTCCCGCTCTCTTTCGCAGCGCAGCTATGTAGTGCTCGGACAGTTCGGGCCGACTTCACCACATCTCATATGAGATTTGTGGATCGACCGGAGGGACGAGCGCCTGCCTCGCTACCGTTTTGCGAGCCACTAAACGTTCCGCTACAGGGGACCGGACATGAGCTTTAGGAAGAACGTGCGGGCAAAGTGCCGTGTCTTTCTCAACAACGACCCGGCCCGTACCGTCTTGACCAATAGAAACTGAAATCAAAAGTTTGTCGTGGGTTCGAGACCCACATCTAAACATTGAGGTGTTTGTTTTGCTGAGACCCTGGATTCCCTGGGCCAGAGAATGGGTGACGGAAAGACTCGTCTCAGACCCTGGAACATTCTGCAGGATGTGGCGAACGAGTGATGAATGAAGCGAAACATACATATAGATAGATTGATTGGATGGATAGCAGCGCTGGCGAGGGGAGTCACCCTCCTTGGAAGTGACTACAATGACCACCACATACATACATACATGGCTCACCTCTATCGCCTCATGCCAAGGACTTGGGAGGGGCCCGAGGCGAGCGTGTGGGCGAAGGTAAAAATAACGTCCTCCGTCCCTCAAAGGACAACAGGAGCGCAACGGCCGATTCATCGGGCCAGCCAACCCCTAAATCGCCGACTGCATGCTATGCTCTCCAACGGGTTTGAATTGGATGTACGTACCGAACTGTTGTGCGCTCCAACAAAGTAGAAATGGATTCCATCTAGGTACCGAATATTATAGTCAAATGGGGGCCATTACCGTACCAAGCGTGTTTCCAACGATCACGAAGCGCGAAGGTTAGCTGATTAAGTTGATGCCCGCTTGAACGCTGCGTTTGCCAGTACTGACGTAGGCAGACCCTGCTTGGGAAACCTGAGTATGTGTGCTTGTGCGGCGCGATGATGCAATGCCCCGCGCCCCCCCCCCTCCTGTATTCCGATTGGGTTTGGTGTTTGAGGTGTAGCCGCCGCCCGGCCGGGTGTTTTTGGTACGGTCGTGGTGGGTTTATGGTCTCAAAGAGACACACAAGTATCGGCAGTTCCCACGTTCGCAGCGCTTCTGTGCTTTTTCTACAGTACACACTGCTCGGCTGTCTGCAACTCGAAAGGTGACGGAAAAATAAAATTTTCGCCGAGAGTGACCCAAGGCTGCCGTCGATTTTAACTGTCTGTGAAACCGCAACGCAGTAATGTTACGAGGACGGGGAAACTTGACGTCGAGCGCGAATCCTCAATTCGTATTGAGTTGATGCGCTCGTGAGTGTACATACACTTGGACGGGGGGGGGCTTGTTGCTTTCATTAGCATTTCTTTGTTGGTTGAACAAAGAAATACTGCATACTGCAGTTTTTCAAGGCGGGGGGGTGCTTGGGAAGATGTCAGCCTAGTGTAACGCCTCCTGGGAACGAGAAAAATAATACCGCGCCAAGGGTGGCACGCTGCCTCATTGTTCTTCATGAGGGGTGTATACTACATTAATCGATATATGGCTATGCTGTGCAAGAGTTCACCGCTGGAACACGTTGATGTTTGCTCTTTCTTCGAGTGGGTTCAGGGAGTACGTATGGTGATGGCTCCCTATGCGTACCCGCTGACCTGTTGAGCGCCTGTCCAACATTTGATATTTGGAGCTGGTATTTTCAGAGGACTGATTGTGTGGGCAGCCCTTCGATTGTGTTGGCAGTCACTATGTTCGGCTCAAGTCAACTGCTACGCACAACCATACCAGATGGCTTGCCTTATCCAAGATTTGTTTGTGCCGCACTCCCTTCTCGCGTGCTCACTGATTGGTGTTTGGTTGGATCACGCCAACCTTTTCCCACTCGCGTGTGGCAAGTCCAAAAACACAAAACGAGAGGTGAGAGGAATACGGCTAGCTAGCCCGGTCGACACCAGACCCTGTCATCGTTGAAAGATTGCGGAACGCAACGCGCACCGACCACCACTCCCGAACACACCAACGAACCAACGAACCAACGAACGCCTCGCCGGCGTACATCGTCATCAGCCCAACACAACACCGTCGCAACACCCGAGAGACTACTCGGCACGACCCAAGCACCGCACTAGATTCTTGGTCACAGCAAAGGACAAAACCTTGATGAGTTCTAACAAGCCTAGCCTGATCGGCGAGTGTAGGTGAGAATCAAGGCATTCTCGGTCAACACGTCTTCGTAACCGACTTTGGTGACTTTGCTGTCGTCGTATCGACGCCACTCCTCTCCAGCTAGGTGGACGAAGGCAGTGTAGTGTCCGGTCTTCGTCGTTTCGCCCTCGTGGTGAACGACACCGGTGAGGTCGTACCGCTCCGACTGTGGGTCTGTGGATCAAAAGCACAAGGCGGTGAGGGAAATGAGGTTTGAGGCCAAGAGAGGATGCAAAACATGTTGGTTGACATGATCCGAGCAGAAAGTTGGAATGCCATGAGTCTAGGGGTGGCCACTTTTTGCTGCACCGAATATCCTCATGGTGTTGTCTTACCTCCGGCGCTGCTGGCAGGCGGGCGGGTGTAGGGCGCTATGTCGATCGATTTGGGAACGTCGACATGGTGAGAGAGTTTTCTCTCGACGAACGTACCGCCGGACCTACCGCCGTCGACGTGGCAAGAAGCACACAACAATCGACAATCAGAACCAAAATGAGAGGACGAACAATCTTGCAAGGTTGAGGGTACACGCATGTGGGTCTCAATGAAGGCAATCAATGAGCTCAACAAAAAAATTGGTGCAGTCAACGTGAACAACGACGAAAATTCACGTGGAATGTGATTTCCAGAGCACGACGCAACCATGGCAGCGACCCTTCCTGATCTACAAGTTCAACGGCCAACCTCAGGGAAACAACCATCTCTTGAACGGAACAACGCAACTCCATGAATCCATGCACGATCAGCCAAAGACCAAGGGCGGCTCACCTCACGTGCTCGAAGCGTATCAGGTAAAACAATATTGTTGGTGGGCACTGCTTGAGGGAGGTTTTTTCCTCCAGCGTGCTACGCCCTACGTCGCCAACCTGCAAAACACAAAGAAAGCGACAGAAGAAATGTACCTCATTTGCAGTTGGCCGTGCGTAGAGCGGGGAGTGCGGAGAAGAATCACATGTATGTTCCATGCCAGGAATCGGTTTCAAGGCTTAAGGGGACTTCTACTGAAGCTATGGCCAAACTCCACACTAGGCAATGACCCCCAAGAGTTAGGAACGCTTTCGAGCAACCAAGATTGAACCGACGTGCCTGCCCATCCCGTTGTTCTGCTGTACTGTACACCGTCGATCTGTGCGGCTTATGGCCGAATGACACGGCCTGAGTCAAATCGAGGCGTCACAAGAAACACGTCCAAGTACCTTCGTCTGGTGCCGACAGAACGGCCATCATGCAATGGATGCCACACCAACCAACCACTGCCGCACCACCAACGAAACCACTTTTTGCACCCGACGAGATCAAGAAGAAATGTTCCATCCCCCTTGGAATGACCAACCCATAACGCGCCGGTTCTACCTGCGCTGTTCTCTTGAGCGACTCCACGACCTGCCGCAAGTGCTGAGCAGCTCTCCCGTGGTCGCCCATCTCCCGAGTCTTCGCAAGATGCGTGATCGCCTGAGAAAGAGAGTTTCGAGTACAACGATTGGAACAACCAACACTCACCTCCGTCCGAATTCCCATCAACTCGTATCAAGCAACGCCCGGCCTCTAGCAATGGTGAGTATGTACGTTCGTAGACTGCGTGGCCCGTGTGGAGCACCTCGTCGGCAAGCAGTCTACGCACTGTCACGAATACAGTACAGGCGTAGAGCAACAGACCCCCCCACAAGTTAGCAGGGCGAGCAAATTTTGCCGAAGGATCTTTGGCGACTGGATACGTACCTGTTGTCGCCCATGAAACAGTTACCCTACACAATATTAGTGATACCGGACAGCGGAGCGGAGAAATGAAACAACGCAAGGGTTTGAATGATCGGCATACATACCTCGAGCAGCAGGACCACCACGTCGTCGACCCCACCAAGCGTCACGAACGTCTGCATCGCTTCCGCCGTCGTTCCTTGGCGAAGTATTGGCTGTTCGTGGACGGGCGGCACACAAAGTCGTACAGAGAAAGCGAATGGCTACCGGATCAAGGAGTTGAACATATGCAGCCCTGAGCGTGACGATTGGGAGAGTTATGAAGGGTGAGCCAAGATACACAGGTGAAGCTGGAATCCGCCCCGAAGTCCCAAGCACTGGCTGGAAAAAGCCTGCCACACTGAAACACGACTGGATTCCATTCATTCGTTCTTTTCTGGAGACCTCCACGGCTGAAACAAGTACAGTCGACACCGATACTCAGGCTTGCCATAGTCAATTTTTCGGGAGAAACATCAAGGGGTTTGCACATAGGTCCGGCGAGTGGATAGAGCGACGGAGACTATTTGTCAACACGTTTCGAACGCGCAGCCTGTAGCACAAGGCTCCAGTGCCAGAAGGTGTGGCCACAGCCGGCATACCCTTCCCCACAAGACGCGAAATGGGTCCATCGCCGACACATCAGAGAAGCCATGCGATTTCCTCGAGTAGAAGGCCACAGGAACAATGATGTGCGCGTGTGAAGAAACAACAATGACTTACCCGCAGCCGAGATTCCGCTGATGCGACCGCTTGTCGAATTGCGGCCGTTGGTCCCCCTAGCCCAGGGTTCATTGCCGCCAACGCCTGCGAATCTCGATCGCGCCGCACATCGAAATGGTAAGTGGTAGGAGATGTGAGGGTGAGGTCGCGAAGTCCGGGATGAAGAAAACAAGGCTGGCAAAGAAGTGACGCTCGGGTTAGACTCCATTGGATACGCAAAAAAGAAAACGAAGCAACACATCGCCCAACGCTGCTCGTTCCCACCCGATGTGGGCACAGAACAGATGTCACGCAGGCAGTTGACAACGTAGTGTGGGCTGCTTGGTAGAAGTGGAGTCATGTAAGTCAGGCCCCGGCGTTGGGCAGGGTTCGGCCACGGGTAAGAAGCAGATATGGACAGTTTCGGTGAAGCTACAGCAATGTGGGGAGGGAGGAATTTGATCCACCACAGGAACGAAGCAGGTCGGAACCCGAACAATCAGTGAGGGGTTCAATACGAAAGAGGTAAAGCAACCAGACAAAAGTTCACCTGTTGAGAGTCGAGGAGGAGGAAAGATGCCAGTCGGCAATCACGTTGTTGTCCAGAGCAAACGGGCGCATTCAAAACGGTGCATACAGAAAGGGGGTGTAAACGGGACGGATTCACGGATGTGGTGAAGAGGCACATGACTAACATATCATCAACGAGTGCTTCTTGTAGAGGTAAATCAGTACACAATAGGCAACTTATTCACTTGAGTTATCTAACTGAACAGCAACATCGCCAACCTGGTCAAGGAGAATATTGGAGACGGTGTGGTAGGATTGCTCGGTCGCCAGCGCTTCCTTGACCGCCTCCGACAGCAACCCTGTTCTCCTCCACGCGTTGCCGCAGCGTCTTCAAACACTCGCCCTTTCGAGTTCGCACCTTGAGTGCAGGGTCGAAACAGTAGAAAAAAGTGGAGCTGAGGCCTACGTGATGGATCGAGAGGCAGTGGTCCAACATCTCCCGTGATATCGCGTACCTACCTAAGCCACCAGTCCAACACGCCACCGGTAAACGGCCAGCGTGACCACAGAGGTCGAGGAAGTCTCTTCGACGTACACACGCAGCTTTTACAACGAGTATGTACTCCTCTACCGTACCCGTTGCCTCCTCTGATCCCGGTTCTACACAAGGACCTACCCACCTACCAGTACCCACCTAGCGGAACGAGGAGGAGCAAGTAAGAAAAAAACAACTAAAACAGCGGACGGAAGAAACCCATGTATTCGTAGCGAATAGGGCACGCCGGACGGAAAACAATACAGAGGTATGCATTCAATCGGCACAGCGATACCGGGCAGAAGAACGATACCTCGGCGAGTCCCTGGCACCCGTGGCACCCAGAGGGGATGGTCTTCGTGGAGAACTTCTGTAGAGCCGTAGGTTGTCGCAAAATGGGGCACGCAGCAGCAAGGGGTATCATGTGAGATGGTGAGACCATTTCACTCGGGCCCCATTGCTCAGAATCGACAAAACTGAAGCTGATGTCTGTGCGGTTTCGAACAGTAACGACGACGCAGGCGGCGGTGACATAAAAAACAACAACGGAATACAGCCCGTACCTCCTTCAGGAGCTCCTCAAGTCGGGGCAGCGTATTTCCGTCGGGCAACAACGTCACCGTGAGGGTGTGCTCCTTGGGTGGATCTGGCGTCGACACCTGAACGTGTCGGGAGCGTTTCAACGGGTAAATTTTAGCGAAAATGTCATACACGGAACAGCGTCGCAAAAACGATGTTGGAAGTGGAGGTTGTGTGCGTTTTCGGGAATGGTAAGGGGTAAACTGTTTGCAAGGACGAATGAACTGTCAGTGCTCTAGGCCGATCTGTCAGGACGAGGCCCTACGCTATATCCTCAACAACCCTGTACCTGCTGAGGCACAAAGATGAGACCGCGCAGGTGGTTGTTGGGCGTTTGCTTCAAAACAGGCATGTGGCTGTCATCTCGACTCGTCGGGGTGACTCGGCCTGTCCTTTGCGTGAGTATATTTCAAACGTCGACGGCAACCTCGACCCGGTTTCATGTGTCAGGGGTCCTCAAGTACTAGAGCGTAGCATGCATTACCCACCGACCCCGCCACCCTCACTCACATGGCCGCAGCTGCACACATGCTCCGAGGCCACTACAGGCGTCATGTCCACCATCGCCTTTTTTAACATGTCGGCCTGAAGAAGTCAAACGTAGGGTTGAGAGGGGGCTGAAACGATGACGGCACTGGTAGGCGGGTGGAGGAGAAGAGGAAGATATGAACAGTGACACGTCGCGGGGGGGCGGAGGCGCGGGGTGCGATCTGGCAGAATCTTCTGGAATGAAAGTGGCCGCTAGATACTTTGCAACGTCGAGTCTCCAACTCCAGGTTGAAGCCTGCAACATGTGAGAGGAGATATTGAAAGCACGTTGTACGCAATGTTGAGCGAAACGAGAGCGCAGCAGATCGGCACGAGCCGTACAAGAATTACTACGCAGGTGTAGGTGAAAGGCGCCTCACCCCCGTGTACCCTCACCCTTTGGAGGTCACCGGCAACGCTTGAAAGCTGCTTGTTGGGCAGATCGAAGCGTGCAACTTTGGTACACAGACGAGAATATGAAGAGTCGAACGGTCTGCGACAAAAGCCGCACACGGTCACATTCAACTAGAACAGCAACGACAATCGTGGAAGAACTGACACTAGAAGTGCAGATACAACTCTCATGTTCTATGTCGGAGTTTTTCGGTGCGGTAGAGAATTCCCCTCGCTTATAGTAAAAAAACAGATGCAATGCCTGCACAATGCAATAAATGCAGTCAAACGTTTCAAAAGAAGCGCACTTGCCACTTGAAACCTTTCAGTGCACGAATGAGGCCAAGAGACCAGACGCCAGTGTACGTGAGTCCTGTCCCAGCAAACAAGAGAGATCTACGTACAATAGCTGGCTGGGTCGACGATTGCGCACGCTTGTCCGAATCCACCTCAAAAACAACCGACCGAGGCCGTGTCATGCTGTTCGCCACCCACCCCTTTGACAACAAGTAACCCTAACCTCACGGGATACGCCCCCTCGTTGAACGCAAGGCTGCGTAAAATGATAGGGTTGGCGCGGAAGCATGGACCAGTCCTTGCGTTGCCGCGCTACATAGTCCGGAAGAAACATCCGCCCCAAGTTCTCAACCGGTACTTCCAAATGTACATCAAAACAAAGAGAGTCTGGAAAGTTGACCATGTGTTCGTTCTCGCCCCCACCCCCTCGTCGCCCTCCGAAGCTTCGGAAAACGCGTCCAGGAGCTTGATGAGGACGAGGTGAGCATCCCCCTGCTGGCCTTGAACCAGCTGTCACGTCAAAAGATCAGGGCGTAAACAAGTTGCCGAAAATCAGAAACGGAATGACGGAATTGGTGTGAGCGCTGGTTGTGGTGCGTGGTGGAATCAGACGGTTCGACGCTGAACCTCTGCCCTGGAGTCGATTGTTGATACTATTTCTTCAAATGCTACTTTACGATTGGCACGTAGCATGTACTCCAAGGGTTGAGATACTCGCGCCGCCAGAACAAGAAGGAGGATGGTGCAGGCTAGGCTTGAGATTGTGTACTTACCAGAACAACGGAAGCAGAGTTCGTGAGGACAAAGGAAGCAGAGTCGTGAGGTACGAGTTGCTACACACAACTCAGGCCAGCGTTGAGCGGAGTCTGCTCATATGGCGCACCCAAAATGAAGAACAAAACCAGAAAAATTCGGACGGGTAAATTATTGAAGTACAGTGCAACCCCAAAACGTTTCATGTGCACAGCTGCTGATTGCTGATTGTGTTAATGCACATTGATTCACACAACGCCGACACCCTCCAAAAAGCTCTCGAAAAGCAACCCCACTTGTTCCCTGTTTCCCGGTCCCTGCGGCCTCGACCCTTCCTGTAAAGTTTACATAGTTCAGATGATGACCAAGTTTGTGTATTTTTTTCACCACCGTCCGTCGGTGCCAACAAGTTGCCAGGAGACCAGCAGCTTCACCGGACACCACTGGGTTTCCCGTGTGGGGACGGGAATAGACGCGCCGGGCAGGTAGGTATGCCCCAAAAGCAGTGACTGACTTGATGCAATGCAGCCACTTTTAATAACCATTCAAGCAAAAAGTGCTGTTGTTGTATCTAAGAGGCAGGCCTAACAGGAAACACATCCTTTCGGGTTTTTGCCTCGGCTACAGATCAACCAACCCTGGTTTCTTCTTGAAGGTGAAAGAACGCACCTTCGTCATGGCGGCCACCCCTTTAGCAGCCGCCTTCTGCTTCGCGTTCTTGGCAGCCCCTCCGCGATCTGTGCGTTTATAGCAAGACAATCAGCAAGGAAGCGCGCAAAATCGAGAACAACACGCAAAACTTGAGCGAGAGAGAGAGAGAGAGAGAGAGAGAGAGAGAGAGCGCGAGAGAGAGGGAGAGAGAAGTGCCAACCGGAGCAAGTTTTTCGTGTGTACAGAGCCTGTTGACTCGCAGGCCGGGTTCACTTTGGCCAGCATATGGTTCTTCAGATCTGCACTGAGACGGCCTCGTTTCTTGGCAAGACCATAACAGCGTGAAACACCCCGCTCCGGCGGGAAGAGGAGACATCGACGCGGAAAAAATGAAAAAAGCTGTGGATGAAGAGATTTCGAAGCCTCAGCCCTCCACACGCCGTAGGTACAATACGTGGAATAGGACGTTGACTTCCCCTGCGTTGCCGACCTCGTCATGGGCGTGTGAGACGGGCACGAGCAAGTTGCGCGTTATGGTTGCCTCCACATGATTTAGCGAGATTAGTTTCGGCCAGATTAGTTCGTGTTTCGAGCCCTGTGCTTCTCTGTTTCCAAATCTAGGCGGTGCGACATCACAGGTGGAGGTCGACCCCCCTTCCCCACAATGTCGGATGCCCTCGCCCCCTTGTGGAGACCTTGACAAGGTCGAACACCTTGGAAAAGACTTCCAAGGCCTCGAAAGGGGAGAAATCGAGGTAAAATCGAGGCCTTGGTTGTCTTCTCCAAGGTGTTCGACCTTGTCAAGGTCTCCACAAGGGGGCGAGGGCATCCGACATTGTGGGGAAGGGGTGTGGACGTCCACCTGTGATGCATCCACCAATTGTTTTTTAGCGGTTATGTGCCTTCTAAGTTGTTGTTATTGATGTCGCTATTGTTTTCTCTTCCGACGGGCATGCTTGGCGTGTGGTCGCGCGCTTAGCTTCAGGAAAGCAAGGGTCCTGAAAGGCACATGTGTACACATCTCCCATATCTCACCGCCTGTGGAGCTCGTACCGGCACTGCTGGTAGTGAGGGGGGTCGTGAGGTAGGCCGCTAGCCCCTCGCGAAGCTGCGGGCAGTGGCGTAGCAGCTGCACAACTGCGTTCACGCAGCACAAATTTGCCCCATTTGGAGCCCCCTGTAGCCGGGATTCGTTGGCGCACGGACAACCAGGCGGTCGACGATAGGGCAGCAGTCAGGACTTTCGTTGCAGATCGGGAAAAGACTGGCACCTACTGCATCGCAGAAAGCGTGCTGTGTGGACATGGGAACCGACCAAGGCATGCAAAGATCAGCATACTAGATGCGGGGCACGCATACCTGCAATGTTTGGATCCGGGTGCTGGGTGTTCACGATTTGTGACAGCTACAATATCATGGGTGTCCACGATTTTGCGACCCTTGATTTCAGTACGTTGCACTTCTCTTGCACGTTGGCTATACAGTACCGCACTGCTGCGATGAAAGTCGTCCCCATCACGTCATGCGACGCGTGGTGCGGCGGTGGCTTCAAGCACGAACGCCGAAGGGATCCCCACGACCCAAGAAAAAAAAGAAGACTCAGTTTTAAGTGAGCTGCCTGTACCCTTACATCAAAGAACCATGTAGTAGTTCGAGGAGCACTCACCGGGGGGCGCAAGGTGTGAGCGGCAGCTGTGGAGCCGGCGGCTTCGGCTTCTGCTTCTCGCCGTCGTGCAAGGAGGCATAGATATAATATTGAGCGCTCTTTTCAGTTCTGCTGGGACTACTCCTGCTGCTGTGTTTGGCGATGGCGCGTGGCAATCGATGTTAAAATGTGGTGGTGAAGTTGAGAATATTAATATTTCCCATTGGCGTCTTCGAAACACTCGTCGGCCGCGGGAAACACACCATGTGCTGGATGGAGCATCACCCGGATTCTCAATGAATGTGTCCCATTAACAACACGTGTTTGTAACCAAGAAGAGCAGTAGCAGTGATTACAAACGTTCCTTGTTCTCATCCGGCCGAGCTGGGGAAGTTGAGCCTTACGTAGTAAATAGCATTGCTCGAAATGGCATCGGCTTGTAGACGGGGTACACGTGATGCATTTCTTGTCATATGCGATATTGAGGGATCGTTCGAAATCAATTCCCTCGGTCACCTTTTGCCCGCCGGTGGTCGCCTTCTCTCCGCTCGCCGCAGGTGCTTCACCCTCACCGCACCCCTGTGTTCCACCGGCATCAGCATCGCCCGGCCGCGTCGATGAGGCTGGTCCGGTGGCCAAAGGCGCGGAAGCAGCCGCGTTGTTGTCGTCGTCGCCAAGGCGTCGGCCTCGCTTGCGACGTCGAGCCACGGCGGGCGGCGAGGGCGGCCCTCGCTTCGCCCTCCCGCGCCTTCTTCGCGGCCTTCGCCAGTAACTTCTCTGCTCGGCGGGCTCTGGCAGCGACTTGAGCAGCGGTTGGCGCAGCCGACTTCCCCCCCCCCCTGTTTTGGGGCCCATGACGTTTCCCTTAGCTCGAGGAGCGCGTCGCCCCCCGACGGATTCCAGCGTTCCCTTAACTTCCTGGCCGGCACGGGTTGGTGCATCGTGCTCAACCATCGGCGCCTTTTCGCCGTCCTTCTTCGTCTCCTCTCAAACAGGCGCAGCTGCAGCACCGCCGTCGCCGCCCCGAGAAGCGTGCGGTACTGCATCGGACCCTCCCTCGCCCGTGCTAACGGAGGCGGACACGCCCCTCGATCGACCGAGGGGCGTGTATCCCACGCTAGGCGCCGCGACAACCCCTCCCTCTCCCGTGCTAACGCAGGCGGACACACCCCTCGATCGACCGAGGGGCGTGTATCGCACGCTAGGCCTAAGGCTAGGCAGAACGGCCGAAGAATCCACGGAGGAGGTCTGAGCCTCCTGCACTCCACCAACGCCTTCCTCGCCCGTGCTGGTGGGGGCGGACACGTCCCTCGATCGACCGAGAGGCGCGTATCCCACACTACGGACGGGCGAATAGTCAACGGCAGCCGATGCCGGAGAAGAACTGCCGGAGATCTCACCATCGGGCACAGCTCTAGCCGAGTCGCTGCCCTCGCCATGTTGTTCCGGACTCGAGTCCGCCGCTGTGGTCGGCGATACACCGCCGGAGATGTCCGAATCTTTTCCCGACGATGGTGCGACTCCTGGAAGATATCAACGCCAAGACATGTGCAACGTCTCGGATTGGAGGCATACAATGCCAAACAAGGTATGGCAGAAGAAGAGCATGTTGTACCTACAGTACGGGGTCGCCGAGATTCTCTGCCCAGTGGCCCAGACAAGCTGCGCTGGACCAAGAGTTTAGTCCACTCCTCAGGATATTATCAAGACTACGACCGTCAAGGAGACTGATAACAATACCCAGTTGCGCCGAAAAAGCAAGGCCAAATGGTTTTCCTATTGCCAACAAGAAGAATTGGCCTATCGTTAGGGAGAATTGCCCGTGTCTCACGAGACGCGTTGTCCGTCTAAGATGCAGCGGGAGTTGCAGCTGGAGTCGTTTCTGCAAACTGGTACGCGATTAAAAACTATCGAGTGACGTGCTTAGTTTGTTATTATGTCTAGGGAGCACTACCTTGGGCGGCGGCGGTGGTGGTGGTGGCGGCGGCGGCAGGGGCGGCGACGGCGGTGGCTCCAGCGGTGGAGGTGGCGGCGGCGGCGATCGTTGGAGAAGGCGCGGCGGCGGCGGCGGTGGTGGCTCCAGCGGTGGCGGGGGCGGCAACGGCGGTGTCTCCAGCGGCGGCGGGGGCGGCGGCGGGGGCGGCGGTCGTTGGAGAAGGCGCGACAGTGGCGGTGGCTCCAGGGGTAGCGAGGGCGGGGGCGGCGACGGCGGTGGCTCCACCGGCGGCGGGCGCGGCGGCGGCGGTCGTTGGAGAAGGCGCAGGGCCCGTGGCTGGTCCCACGTCGGACGATACCTCCCCCGGCGTCAGAAGACCAGCTGTGACCACGCTCGAACTCCTCGCTGGTCGCGGCCGTTCGTCTTCTTGCTGAATCACAACAAGAAAGAGAGGCATTTCGTCAAGCTCAACGATATTCGCAGGGGGTGGGGGAATAGGAATGCTGGCACGTCACCAGAAAATGATTTTTTGTTGCCAACCCGTGCCGGTCGTTGGTGCAAGACAATGTGACCGCAAAGCTCCTTTGAAACGGTTGATTCTGGGGAGAGGTACTGATATTCTCACACCCACAACACCTGCGGCACCGAGACGGAAACAGCGAAGGCGCCGCCGCCACGCAGCGTAAATATGTATGGCTAGAAAAATGATTCCCTCTAGCTTACCGCGTGCAGGACCGGGCGCTACGTGGTGTGAGGTCAAAGGGAAGGTTGATTAGCACAACCGGCACTTGGATTCTTAGCGCAAGTTGGTTGAAGGCCTGACAAGAGCACACAGCTGCTACCTCGCTTGCTGCTATTTGAGCGAAGAGGAAGAACGGTGTGCGTTTTGAGAAATGGTAACGAAATAAATGCTGGGAGCACAGTGTATTCAGGCGACAACCGCGCTACATACTTCCGTAGTTCGAGCTCGATGTTTCTGCCTCTCATCACAAACAAGGGCCCTACTTGATGGTTTCAAAACATTTTCGACCCCAAGAAGAAACTGAAAACCACAAGCATGTACTTTGAAGCATGGTGAGGTCGAGAAATGCCATTCTGATGGAAAGCCTCACGCCGAAAACCCTATCTAGTGGAACGCCACGCCAAATCACTGACGACCTACGAGACGAACCGGTTTGCCGACCACGTTGCATGCGCACCCTACCATACGTGATTGGCGAAGAGAATGTACTACAAAGTCGTTAGGGCATTACCTGTTGAACCACCGCACCCTGCCGCCGAAGAGGGGTCCCCATTCGACGGCGCCGACATGCGCACAGTACCGCTCCGGCAAGAAGCGCAAGAGCGAATACGACCGAACCCACGATGGCCGGATGCGCCGCAAGTGGTACACAGTAGGGGCTGGAAGCTTCCAGGTGGCCCCCTCAGGGGCCGGAAGCATGAGAACTTCCGCCCCCTCAGGCGCCGGAAGCATGAGTACTTCCCCCCTGTCGAATCGCTCAACCAATGGCCGTAGGTCCGAGCCGATCTCGTCCTCGCCCGCCGCCTCGCCGCCATCTTCACCCGTAGCTGCCCCGTCGGAATCAAGCCTTTCCCAACGGTCGTCTGCCCCCGGCCCGTTCTTCGACGCCACGGGCTCCGTGGTGTTGGCCTGCTGAGAAACAACAACGCCGCGACAAGAATGGAAGTCAAGGTTTGCAAGGAGCAGAGGCGTTGCTGCTTCTCGAAGCACAGCTTCGCTGCGAACGAATCAGCCAATACTCGTACTCGACCACACCCAGAGGCTCCGTCCGGTCCGCCACTCAAAAAACAGAAAACGGGACAAAAGCAAGGCGGGGCGCATGCTAAAGTGTTTGTTTGGTTGTCTCACGGAGCTGTTTGTGTTTTGATCCGTGGTGGTGAAAACAGATCGCCAAGAAGAAGCAAAAATAACCAAACTACAAGGAAATTCAAGAGAGCTAGTGCTGCAGCGTAGGTGATGAGAAATTGTTGCCGGGAAGCAATTTCCCGGGATTACATAGGCCAACGATTTTCCGGAGGGGGAAGGTAGTGCAAACATAGGATATCACTGCCTAGGTGAAAATCTGAAGGAGATGGCGGTGAACTGAACCAGTTACGTATCTCCATTCAGCAGCCTGGATTCTCCAATTTGGAGGTCCACCACCATCTGCCCGTCCGCCGGTCGGTACGGTATTGCATCACGCAAACGTTTCGCACAAGCAAGATTGTGGACGCTTCGATTACCCCAAACCATCAAAAGCCATCTTATACTATCTTCGACTCTGTGTGCTTGTATTGAAAACTTGTGTCTCACCGCGTTGTCCAGGTAAAAGAAGGCCTATGACACCGTCGACGAACTCGGGCTTGAGTGCCCAAGAGTACCTGAGCAGCTGGGTGACATCCTTCACCCGTCTGCAAGTAACGCGTGTGTGTCAGAAAGATGTCGCACCAAGCAGGCATGAGAGGTTGATTATTTAACATTTACAAGCGGAGGGATTATATTCATTCGTTTGTTCCTGTAGTGGGCCATGCAGCGTCGATGTCCGGTGGGGTTGGGCCTGGATTTGAAAAAAGCGAGCAACCACACACTTACTTCTCGGCAACTGTACAGCGGAGATACAGCAAACATGCGAACGAGGTGGGCCACTGCAACTCGCTTGCTCTATTTAGCTATCGGCTGGAAGCACTGAACACGACAACAACACTCGCCACCCTTACACCCTGGTCGGGCGAAGACAGACGAGCAAAGAAACGTGGAACGCTACTTGACTGCATGTATGATGTTGAGTCCCTCTCTGTCAAGGTCGGTTGTAGACTTTAGACTTTCACAAAGCGAAAGACAACATATTACATTTCCGACCGAAAAGGGGCGGCCTCCTCGGCGGTATCATCAACAGAACACTCCATGCAGCGACGACGTGCATCCTACAATGTAGCACGCTCGGGTCTACTGCTGGCGGAGAGAATTCCAAGGTAAGGTACAACGTGTGCCAGGAAGCTTCCTGGCGTTCGGGTCTAACTCTGAGTCTTGGCTACAGATTTTACCATCCTTCTGTGCTCGTCGAGACACGCCCCAATCTCCTCCCCGGGCACCTAACGCGTTGTATGGGGAATCATGAAGCGGAACGTTTTCACCACTTGTCAACATCCACATGTATTAAAAAACATGCTCTGTGTTAGACAAGATTCCCCGCGCAGGGCCTTCCGACCCACTTGCCTTGGCGCGCGCGAGCTGGCGCAACACGCTTACAGTACAGCTCACAAACTCTTGTTCCTTGGAAAACATTGAGCGTGGGGGCACCGCGTAGAACGAACGGACCCTCGTGTTTTTAGGTTCACGTTCAAGTTGAAACGGCATGTTTTTTTTGTCCCTGGCGAAGAAGAAGGGCGTCTCGTGTACAATTCTTGTTCGAAAGAAGGCGAACAACGGCTGTCCCGACATCTCTCACCTCTTCCGACGAACCGCTTTCTTCACCGTCCGGGGGATCCTCTTGAGATCGCGACAGTCTCCTTGGCGGAAAACTTGAAGACTGTCTGGGCGTAGGACGTCCGCCAGAGCCTGAGGAGCGGCAGTTGCAGGAGTAGACAGCAGTATTGAGCAGCAACAATAATAGTAATGTAATGAAGTACGTACGCATAGCAGCACGACAAGTGGCGCCACGCCTGTGTGCGCACACAACAAGCAAAATCGGATAAGACCTCAAACGGTTTGATGTCTGGACATACATAATTGTGTACCGTGATCGTAGGTGTCGTCCCCCCCCTATGTGTCATCCCCCCACCTAACTGCCCCCCCAAACTCGCCGAACAACAGTCAATATCTTGTCGTGGCCCCGGAAGTGATCGATAAAAAAAAAGAATGTCGCCTCCGCTCCCTTTGCTTGCCCTTCGGGTTAAGAGATTTTTTTATTAGATGCCCCCATTTTTTTTTTCGAACTAGACTAGTACACGTATGTACCTGGTCACGACTATTTTTACCTCGACAACCCGTAGAACTGACGCGCCCAGAGTACATATCCGCCGTATTTTGGGATAAGACGCGTCATCCGCATTTGACATGACGAATACGTTATGGTGGTAGTACACAAACAAAGCCCATGGGTGGCGGTTCGTTGATCCTGGGGGTGTTGATTTCCTGTTTGTCTCGGTCTGAAAACAAACGGTGGGTGTCAAGTGTCAAGTGGCATCCGGCACCACGGAAGAAACCGTACTGGACTCGAATTTGCACTTTCCCTCATGGTAGACCCCCGTGGGTAGCAGGTATTGCCGAAAACATCAAATCCCACCCGTCCCTCTGTTATTATTTGTACCCGCGGGGGTAATATGTATCGCATAATTTCAAAGGGAAAGAAGAGCACCCTCTCCTCAAGGGCACGACACCGACGATTATCATTGCGGGAATTGCAAACTAAAACATGCATGTACTGGCGGTATAGGTGGTAGAGTGTACGGAAGATGAAGAAATATAGACTGCAATCGGATAATCTGTCGGTGTGAGCAGAAAACTATCCTTAGGCAGTAGTCTATAATACGTGCATTTCGTGGTGCCAAACGTTCGGTTGCAGGAAGCTTTCTGGTGTTTCTTTCGTCCACCTCAGTCAGACTCGAGCCAAGAACACAGCAGCAGTATACAGAGTAGTGCAAAGGCTTCTTATCCATCCGGCCCGCCTTGGCCGAGCCACATATAATATGTACTTGAATTATGTAGCCCTCTCCACAAAACCTACGTACCATGGTACATGTATACACTGCAATGTAGACATGTAGACTGCTCCGATTTCCTAGAAAACCTCGACCTCTTAGATAGGTCCACCTCTCGTCCACCTGATACATTTTAACCGGAAAGACGCACCTTCTTGTCAACGAGTACTGTACAAAGCCTGTGTTAATAGTTTCTAAAAAAAAAGACGCACCTTCTTGTCGATCCCTGGAGTATTGATCCAGCGCGATGATGTGTGAGCCGCCATCTCGACAGCAGTAGCGCCGAGACGGCAGCAGCAGCGCACGCCCCGCTCTGTCTGGCGGGAGCAAAACAGCGGTGCCAGGGAAGAGGGGAGGCATCAGAGCGACCACGTGGTTGGTGTGCAATGAAACCACAATGAACCATACGTCAGGGTGATTCTCTCAAAAAGTGCACAGCGGCAAGCAAGTGCACCCCACGCCAGTTTGCCCCTCCCTTGTCCGTCGTGCCGTCGTGCCCAGCGGGCACCATGAACGGTTGAGGAAGGCGGATCGGCAGAACAAAAAAAATGCCTGCGTTTTGACCGCCGGACGCTCGCTGCCACGACACATGCGCGGCTAACCCAGAACAAATAAACGCATCCAGCAGCAGGATTTCTCCCCCATTCGCTGCAACGAAAGCTTCCAACACGGCCCCTTCTACTGCTGTGGTATCTTTTCAAGTCTCAAGCAGGCGCAATACATATTTGTAGTCCTTCTTGTTCGTTGAGATCGAAAATGTTCAAGTTGTTTATCCGAGGCAGCTGCTGGTGGATCCCATCGTGATTGCATCGATCTTTCCTCTTTCGATCCCGCAGACTCTGAGCTGCGCGTTGGGGGAAGAGGGGGCACGGAGGGTATGCACACATCCGGCGCCAACCAGCCACAGCATCTTGAGGTCGAAGACGACCGACTACGGCAACGATGTGCTCCTATCTATGTACAGCAGTATGCAAAGCAAACGGCAAAATTGCAACGATGCCTAAACGCACGACAGAGAGAGAGAGACAGACAGAGAGAGAGAGCCAGCGACACCATGCTACGGCACAAGAACTCATGAGTTGAGCCCACGCTCGCTTGCTTTTACCCCTCGCTTGAGCACTTTGGGTTAGTGATCAGGCGGCTGCCGCGATCTTTGGACGCCTGCTGTTGCTGGGTACAACGAGGACACCAATGTAGAGGCATCCGGCGGCGCAAATGTCAGTAGTAAGAGCTGAGAGGCAATCATCGAGTCATCGTATTAGCGGGATACGAAACTCCCACCTTTTCTTCAGCGGCACCCAGCTACAACGTGGCCGGGCGTCGCTCGCTCTCTCCTTTCCTTGCTCCTTCTCCTGGTACGCGTTGAGCACACAAGAAGAACAGGATCCACACAACGACAAAACATGATGGGCAAAACAAGGTGATCTGTCTCTCTGCTATGCACCAACGCCCGGCGGGCTTCAGAGAGCATGTGCTGGTCGGGAGTTCGGATGGCATGTTTGGTACGAGAACGAAACGTCTTTTTTTTTTCCTCTTTCTCGACGACGACGTGCCGTTATTCGTTTTTATATCAGCACGATCCCATCTACTATGTTGTAGTCTATGTACAGACCGTACCCAACTATTGTACAAGGGTCCAGTTTGAATTAGCAACGGACCCATACATAGCGTTTTTGTTAAGATGTACAGCATATCCACTATGCTACAAGTCAGCGCTGACTTGTAGCATAGTGGATATGCTGTACATCTTAACAAAAGCACAACCGGGGTCCTTCGGCCTGTTAGAGCTGTTGGACCTCGGTAAACCCCAGGGTTGTAATCCCTGTAACCAGCGCTGCCCCCATGCGGTTCATCGACTTACAGGGCGGGAATATGTGCCTTCACTTGGACGACTGGAATGTATACCGTCTTTCAGGCCTATCCCAGACGTTTCCAGAAAAAAGGCGTCACAAGTGGTCACAGTGGTCCCAGAGGGATTCGAACCCCGGTTGTACTTTTGCTTTTGGCACTCAGCATCGCTGTGTGTCTTGGTGTTGTGGTAGGAGCACCACTTGGGCTGTGCACTCCCACCACTTCCTCGCTTGTTGGCTCCCTTCTTCTTGCCCTGCTTAGGACGGCTCTTTTGGACCTGTTGGGGACAATCGCGCTGGAAGTGTCCGTACGCCTTGCATCGGCGGCACTGGTCGGTGTCGGACGCGACCGCCATCGCAGCCCCCCGGCCCGAGACCACGGGGCCCGACGCGTTGCGCGACTGCTGATCCACAAAAAAGCGGTTAGCCGTCGCCTGGAGACTGTCTACTGAAGTAAAATTGTCGCGGTAGTGCATCTCCCTGATGAACTTGAACTCCGGGGCCTTGGTCAGGCCTGAGAGCATGATGTCCAGGTAGACTGGGTCCGAAACTTCCTCCCCCAGCACCTTAAGGCGAAGCTTGAGATCCCACCCCTTTGTGAAGAAGTCAATGGGGTCACCGCCCGCAAGGTGTCGCAGGTTGAACAGCTCGTTGTGACACGCACGCCGAGCTTCCTGGGTTTGAGCATCGAAAAGCTCGTTGAGGGCTCTCCAGGCCGCCGTCCCATCCCCCATGTCACTATCCGCGGGGAGTGCGGACGGTGAGCTGCGCAGACCCGGAGGTCACGAAGAAGAGGAGGGAGAACAGGCGACCGTTGGCCTTGTCCCACGCGCCCACATCCTGCGCGTTCGCCGCGGTTGCCGAAGGACGCGCGTTTCCGTTGAAGACGGGGAGAAGCTCCGGCGCGTGGAGGATCATTGCTTGTCGAAGTTTGATCTTCCACTCGCGAAAACCCGAATGTCCCGCGCATTTCCCGATGGAGTCCAGCATGCGGTTGAGCCCGGAGCTCACTCTTGTCGAGACGTACAGCATATTCACTATGCTACAAGTCAGCGCTGACTTGTAGCATAGTGGATATGCTGTACATCTTAACAGTTTTCGGCCGGACAAGCGCAGACCCACTGACAACGGCGTCAACTTCCACAAAATGACGCTTAGACTACATACACACGCCGAGATCTACAATACGCAGCGAGCGGTTGTCCAATCCAAAGTGACAGAGCACCGAAAGTATGAGCAAAATCAAGTACGGGGCGCACCTGTTCCAGGTTCACTACAAGTGTAGTACCACAGGGAAACACTCACATCGACTGAGAAAATACGGATCAATCTGTACAAACAGGCGTCTACTTCTACACACAGCAGCAGCAGCACAGCAGTACATTGGCGACTCACCAACACGAGGAGAACAACAAACACCCTTTCTTTGGCTGTTTCCGTCCACCAACCGGCAGTGACCGTATCTCCGGAAAGTGTGCCACCCTTGTTCTCAGCAGAACCAACGCACAGGCAGCACTTCGCCGTGGCGGCACATACAGTAGTAGTTCGCCGATTGTATGGTAGCAGCTGCGCCCGCGAAATTTTGGATGCGCCGCATTCATCGCGGTAGCTGTACTACTCTTTAGTGCCCTCGACGCCTGCTCACGTAAATAAATGTCGACGGGAAGCGTGTAGGCTTCCACGAGAGTGTTCAGGGCCTCGTCGCCAGGTTATCTCTAGGTTTCCAGCGTCGCACCACCAGACACTACAGCTGTAGTACATAGCTTCCGGCGGAATAGATGTATGTATGGGCTTTTGTGAGTCACCGGCGCCTTGGTGTTGAGCGTATGCATCGCACCACAACAAGAGACCACAAACAAAACAACAAGAACATTCCGTCAGGAATTGCCATGGATGCCTACCATAGGGTCGTTCTCTTTGCAACTATTGAGAGAGGCAACACAGCTGGCACGCGTGTTTGGTTCCTGTGACAACCTCCACCAACAGCAGCAGCAGGCGAGGATCCCGCTCGGCGCCTCACCGCTAGACTATCTATGTATAATGGACCAGCCTGTAGATTCTGCACCGACCGATCGTTCTCGGAGCGATGCGCAGGTCTCTCGCAGCTCTCGCACAAAGAAACATGCGGATCTCTGGGTGGCACGGCTGTGAACGCGAGACACACTGCAGGCTGTGGTGTGAAAGATGAACCCAGGGCCTGCAGGATGACGCGGGCGGCGAAACAACTTGAACCCTGATTAGAACCAGAACAGTTACTACTCCTGCTCTAGCCTACAGCTCGCAACTCGCGGTCACATCCGGCACTGTCATTTTCGACCCCGGGTCGTGGAACTCCCATTTTTTTGGCGATGAGCGGCGAGATTGTGCTTGTGTGCTGAGTGCTGTGTGTGCTGCTAGCATACTTCTTTGTGTCGTGTCCTGTGTATTTGTCATCACGCCTGGCGGTCTGGTGCCCGGTGATACTCGTTTTCTTCAACCAGTGAACAAGCGCAAAGTATAAGATGGCTGTGGACCTCCTTGCCGCATCACGCCGGCCGTTGGAACGACTTTTGCACGAGTGCTCTTTTTCTCAATGGGAGAATATCGCCTTGTTCCTCGACGAAGGCGCGACGGAGGCGGTGAGGTGGGCAGGGGGCCTGGGCTTCGTGCTGGAGGAGCTTGGAATCTCTCATATCCTGGACTTGCAGGTGGGTTTCGGTTGTTGTTGCTGTTGGTCGTTCGTGATCCGTGCATCTCTTTGATGTTCTCGAAATACGGAGAGTTCCCAACAGTCTACTCTTGTAGTCTATGTATCTAGACTTGGTGCCCTGGACAGCAGTACAGCAGTCTATCGTACGTGTCTACCGGTATGCATGCAGCCGTCGTAAATATGCACAGCTGAGATGAGCAAGGGCAGGGTCTACAGCATCCTGCAGTCTATTGTGTGGTGTACTCCTGTGCTGCTGATGTTCCACCCGCCTGTGATCGACGCGTGCGTTCAGCTGGTACTGTAGATGGAAAGACGCTTCGTGCGGAACGATACAGCGGCTGTTCCACATGTAGGCTGTCAGGTGGATATGCTGGTACTACTGCTGTACATGAGTACTGCAGTATGTAGTATTCTACTGCTGTAAACTGCTGCTGTTTAGTGCACAGTATTGCTGTAAAACACTTTCAGGAAATTGGGACTCGTACAGCAGTATTGAGGAAGAGCTGGCTGGATGTTTGGATCCATGTGTTGCGAGTGTTGATTACCGTATATGACACAAGATAACACACCCCCTGGACCGATTTTCAAAGCTCGATTACTCCACGACGAAGAGGATGCATAAATGAAACAATACGTTTTCGAACAGCTCTCGACGAGACGGTTCCAACGCCGCCGTTTTCGGCGCTGTGACTCTTCCTGCTGTTGAGAAATCGAGCTTTGAAAATCGGCCAAGGGGGGATGTTATCTTGTGTCATATACGGTAGCTCAGCAGTATCTAGGCTTTGACATCACTACACCTCAGTTCCAGAGACCTGAGCGTGTCAAGGCGCATGTCGCTACACTGCACAACGTCCTCAACTGGCGAAGTATCTTAGGCCAGGAATCCGCAAGCCTATTTGAGCGGTTTTCGATTCGGCCCCCAATTATGGTATGCGACTTTCGTCTTGGATTTATCTTACACAACCGATTTACCCGTGTGGTCGTGATCCCCGTACAGAGAGGGAGACGAGCGTGGTATTTGTTCGCCTTTGGAAGAGAGGATTGTCAGATCAGGAAGCCTAACACATTTCACCCAAACATGTGCCGTGTCATCAAAGGCATTTGCGCCAGGCAGGAGCCCGCCTGCAGTCCCAGAGTCTGAAGGGCTAACCCGGGGCATCTTTCTGGTGACGAACTTTGTTTGGGACGTGGAAGGGGCAGTGCTTCACGCGGCCTGCACCTACGGACTCACAGAGGTAAGCTCGACACCAGAGAGAGAGAGAGAGAGACAGACAGACAGACAGACAGACAGACAGACAGACGACGCGCCTTGGGCTTGCCCTGCAAGTGCCCATTTGCGCGAAAAGGGCGCACTTGATTCGTTTTTGGAACGTTGTCCTTGGCCAAAAGAAAGCGTGCTTGCTTCCCGAAGCACTCGCGTAGTGCACACCGATTCACAGCACCTGCGTAGAGATTGAAGAACGTGATGTAGTGCTGGCCTACAGACGAATAACGTCGATTAACGGTCGACGCTCAACTTGTTTTCCGATCTTCATGGAGATGAGAGAAGAGAACTGGTGCGGTTGAGATATATTTTAGCCCAAGTTGTTGTCGTGACACGCTGAACCTATGTCTCTGGAAGCTGTTTTTCTCAACTGCCACACTGCGATAAGTTTCCGACCGTACGCCAGATCTTTCGCCGGGGTTCCTTGTGCTCAAGGGGTCGCAACGTGTGTTGCGAAGTCGACACAAACGCACCGTGCAATGATAAGTATCAGTCTTTTGTTTCATGTGTTGTGTATTCGCGCCCTGCCTATGCACAGACAAACCTGACGCTGAGACTAATGGTAAGAATCCACATCGCTACCTTCCATGACCCATCTATTTTTCGAATCTTGGACACTCTTACCTCCACGATCGGATCCGCATGTTATTTGCAAGTTAGAGGACGCTTGCACAAGTTCCTGGATCTTCGCCTTTGTGTTTCCTTTGAAGGAGGGCCCAGTAAAAAACCTGAGTTGAATACTCACATGAATTCCGCTGTGCTGCATGGTACCGCTCACCCCACAGACCCACTTGGGCGACGCCGAGGGTGCTTAACTCATGTTCCTCCGCATCGCAGGCGCCCAAAACCCAAAGTACACTCTGTGCTCACGACTAACGGCAGCCCTTTGACCGCTGTTAAGGTGGCGTTGGCGTGTTCGGTTTCCGAGGAGGCCCATGCCTGCCACTCTCATGCTGCTCACATATCGGAGGAGACTGGGGGTCGCGCCTCCTTTGCCGTCGTGTCTCAGCAACTCAAGGTGTGAGCGCGACGCCACATGAGTGCGCGTTAGCAGCAGCTTTCGATTGCCGGTGGGAGACGTTGGGTGTCGATATATATATATTTTTTTACGTGCTGTGCGTGTTGTGTGCTAGTTGAACCCAAGACGCTTGCCCCAGTATGGAGGAAGAGAGCGCGTATGCCGGGTGCGACGGCTGGTCCAAGAGCCCATGCCTGTGCATAATTTCTACGCCATCTTGTGTGTGGCGGGCAGGTTCTACAGCAATATGTAGGTCGCTTTGCAGGAATCATTTCATCCCTTCCTGAGGCATTCGACACACATTCGCTCCTCCTGCGTATCCGTGTGATCTCCCATCGAAACCGGAGCTGTCGCCCAAAGCGCGGGGCGGCCAGTATTGCCCGACTTCGTTTCTCTCGCCGCCCTCTGCAATTCACCCATCGAGGACTTTTACGATATCGACGTCCGACGCGTGTGTTTCAGGTCAGCCTGGAGCGGATGCTCAAGATAAAGGCCCAGAGCAGCAGCAGCGGTCGCCGTCGGTTCTCGAAACCGTCTCCCTCATCTACTTCGCCGCCATCTTCCTCGTCCACGCAAACCATCGCAACGGAGGCTGCCCCCCACCTCGCCGCCAACGCCGTCGACCCCACCGTGTTAGTCACGATCAAGCACTCCCCGCTGCACGTGGGCTGCTTCTTCCAGGCCTCAACCACGATCACCAGCGGCGGCGGAAGCAGTGTAGATGTAGACCAGCCCCTCGACTCTCAGGGGCAGCATCAAAAGGGATGTTCGGCGTTCTCGCTGGCCAGCCCGGCGTGCGCGAGAGTGTTCCCGCTGAGGCGGTGCGATTGGGAAGGCGGGGGCGGGGGCGGGGCTGGCGCTGCGCTGTTTGCGGCGGCCGCGGCGGTGGAGGGGGGCGGGGGTGGGGGCGGAGAGACCAGGGGGCACGTGTCAGCGGAGGAGGTTCCAAGGGGAGAACGCCTTCGATACAGGTACAGGACGCCTACGATAGTGCTTGTTCTCGGAAGACGAGGGGGAAATTTCGTTTGTCTCTCCGACGCTTATAGCGCCTGACCACCCCGTGCGTAGTGCAACTGCGTCCTCCGCACGGCTCAAGAGCTCCGCGGGTGACAAACCGTAGGCTCCCACGCTCTCTCTTCCAACCCTGCTGCCCGTAGCCGCTGCCGAAAGTCCGTTTGCTGGCTTGTGTTGTAAAGCGTGGAAACTAACAACAACAACACAACCGACACAGGCTGCTGGCTCACACGCTTGTGGAGGCTCTGTGGGATCAGCTCTTGTTGGACGTGAGCGGCGGCGGCGGGGTGTTCACGCTGGGCGACACGTCTCGTCTCATCGGTACCACTGTCGCTGCAGTGGTGAGTGAACAATTGACTGACAGCAGTTAACAGAGGAGAACATGAGAGCATTATCATTCTACCAAGAACAAGAAGGACGCAGTCCAGGAGAGGTGTCGGAAGGTATACCTCGCGGGTGGCGGTTCTGGCGTTGGATGGAGGAAGGAAACTTTCTCTCTCTCTCTCGACAGCCGCTGTTTCGTTGCGGGTGGTTTTGGCGGCTAGGACTGAGGCTCATCGGCTACCGACCAATGTCGTGTCGATGTTCCACGGTAGGATGGAGGCTAGGCTTTTCTACGAACTGGCGTTGACGGGGGTGGCTGGGAGGCTATCCAGAGGCACAACTTGGACTCGCGTCCCGCCTGGCGTTGATGCACAATGTGTAAACATCACGTATGAGTGTCAAGCCCCCCAGTATTCTTGCGAATCGTAGCTCGCTCGCCTCAGACACAGGTACAGCGGCGGTAGTGTAGCCCTCGCGAAAAAGAAGGCGCATGGCAGAGCTCGAGCGCATTGGGAACCTTCTTTCGAGGGGCCGCCGCTGTACCCTCTCGTCTTCTCTCATTCCGACCGCGCTACGTATCATGCGCACGGCTCTCGTCACAAACTAACCTGACAGGCAGAAGACTTGAAGCGCGTCTCGCTCGAACGACCAGCCCCCCCGGGGTTTGGTGGGGAAGGGGGCGCGGACAGCGCCTCCAGCGGACGCGGTGGCGGGTTCGGGTCGGATGGGGCTGGGCCGGCTGCTCGCCGTGAGGCGTCTGTGGTGTTGATCGATCGGAACTTGGACGTGGCCGCGGCGGCATCGCACGGCGGAAGCCTGCTCCAGCGAGTGAGAGATGCGAATAATAGTAGTACGGTCATCCCTCGGTTTTGGACACGCCTGGTTTTTCGTTAAAACTGTTGTCCTTAAGCCGGGGAAGTATTCTTACGATTGCTACCCCTCCTTGTGTTTGTCTGTGGGGCACCGTGCCCGTGACAAAAAGGGTGTCCTTTGCCGAGGGACGACTGCCGCTGCTGCAAAGGTTATTGTTGGGCGAGATCATAGGCCTCGTGTGCTTGGTTTGGCCCGAAGGGGAATAGATAGGCACAGAGATGGTTTTGTGTCCGGCCGGGGGTTGGTCGTGTCTGTCTGTCTGTTTGTCTGACTGTCTTAGTCTTCAGATGTTCGTTGATGTTGGCGCGAGATTCTTGTAAGCGGTTTGCGGTGAGACCGGTGGAACGACGGGTTCGGTGCCTGGCGCGTGCAGCCGCGAGAAGCATTTACACCGTGGCTACAATACAATTTTGTTGCTGCTGAAATCTTTTCGTGTGTGGAGGCGGGTTGTCATTGTTTTTGGCAGCCGTACGTGGGACGTTAAGAAGGTGCAAATACCAAGGAACTACTGCTGTTGCATTTCGATACGCTACGTGTCCCCCCACCACAACTAGGGAAGTAGCCACAAGAAAGCCATTCATGGACCCCTCTCTGCCCTCACCGCGCACCCATCGCCTTGATCGCCGTTGATTTACGCGATCTCTCTTAATTTCCCTCTCTCTCTCTCCCTCCCTCTCTCTTTCTCTCTCTCCCTCTCTTTGTTTCTCTCTCTCTCTCTCTCTCTCTCTCTCTCTCTCTCTTTCTCTCTCTCTTTATTTCTCTCTCTCTCTCTCTCTCTCTCTCTCTCTCTCGCTCTCTCTACCTCCCTCCCTCTCTCTTTCTCTCTTTCTCTCTCCCTCTCTCTCCCTCTCTCTCCCTCTCTCTCCTTCCCTCTCACCCTCCCTCTCGTGTTGCCCTACCGAACCTCGCGCGCTGCCATACGGCGGCGGCCACGACCGGGGCCCCGCAGATCCTGAGCTCGATAGATCGAACCGGCACTCCAAACTCCGCCGTCCCAGCCACCCCCTCTTCGCCCGAGGCCGTCGCCATCGACTGGTCTCCTTCCGCCGCAGCTCACCAGCAGGATGTAGGCGTGGTCTTGCCCATGCTCACGCCAGGTCTCGGACTTCCGGCACGCGCGGCGGCGGTGGAACGAAGCGGCGGTGGCAGCGGCGGCGGCGGCGGCGGCGGCGGCGAGGGTGCCGGGGGAAAGCCACCGCGCTTGCTGGCGATGAAGGCTCTGTCTGGGTTTCCGTGGCGGGCGCCGCCGTCCCTGTGTCACTCGGGGGGCGACGCGGGCGCGGCGGCGGGGGTGGTGCATGCGATGGCCTGCCACGGGGAGGAGGAAGGGCAGGCAGCTCTCATCTCGGCCCTGGAGAAGTGAGTTTGTTGGGCTGGGGAAGGCGAAAACGTTGCCCGGAAGGCAATCGCTCGGGGGGGAGTGAGTGCGGCTGGCCATCACGGTCGTTCCTCCTAGTATCTGAGTACGTGTGTTGAGCTACGGGGGGGGGTGGGGGTTGCATGGTGTTTGTGTGTGCTGGTATAATAAGTGATTCATTGAAAATGCTGGGAATGGCACGTATTGCGCCTGCAGGAGGGCCTTACGTATTGTACAATCTTATCTCTTCTTTTCCTCACGTCTCGTCCCTTTGAAGCCGCGCCTACCGGCGTAGAATAGAGTAAACTCCCCTGTCTCTCTCTCCCATCTCCCATTAAAATTTATAAACGACTTTTCCGACAAGGTGCGTCTCCGACAACGGCTGCGTACCGCCGCCGCGCAAGCGCCGAGGCATGGGGTCGTCGATCATGGCGTTAGTCACCAGCCTCGCCAGGGGTAATCCTCGTGCTGGCGGCTTGTCGGGTGATAGAGGTGAGGCCTTGTTGGCTGGGGGGGGGGGGACACGTGTTTTTCATGCCTTAGATATTAGACCACGCGTCCTGGAGAGAACGGAGCATTGTTCCGGGCGGGGGGGGTGGGTGACCTCGACATCGAAGCTGCCGTAGCTAGATCGCCGGGCGGCACAAATGCAGTCTGTGCTATGCACACGTTGTTTCCTACTTGCATTTCAGTGGGATGCTTGCTCGCTCATCGTGAGGTCCCCCATGTGTCTGTTTTTTTTGTTTGGCGCCTTGCCTCAAGCTTCCTTCCTTTCATCTCGAGCACACCTGTGTACCTCCTACCCCACCAATGCTACCCTGCTGTGCTGGTGATCGCCGTTTGTGTGTGCTTTAGTGTGTTTCAAGTCCCGCGGGGTGTTGCAAGTCGCGCTGGCGGCGATGGAGGCCCACCAGAGAACTTCCTCGCTGGCGGGGTCCGGCTGGTCGGAGACGGTGGCGGCGGAGCGCGTACAACTACGGCAGCTCAGGTGTGTGAAAGAGAAGGAAGGGCGCGCTCGCGCACGCTTCGGGGTCCTCGATGCGAGGGAGGGAGGGTTATGGGTGGTGTCAAGGTGGCGCGGGAGTGGTTTCGTTATCCTTGGAATCACCTTTCACCTATCACCGCATCAACTCCTCGTCAAAGCCTTGTGTGTACTGGACAAGCGCGTTGTTTAGTCTCATCTCAGCACACGAAAGGTCGAAGCGGTAGATGCCATGGACAAGCGCGTCGTTCAGTGTTAGCACACGAAGCTCCAAGCGGCAGATGTCATGGGCAAGCGCGTGGCGCAATTTCAGGGCACGAGAGCTTGGAGGGGTGGATACACAGCGAGAAGGCTCAAGCGTGATTTTTTGCCGCTGACGGTGTCGCACACTCCTTGCTTGCTGTCTTTATCACAAAGCGCCTCCCCCTCCCTTTCATCAACCTGTGCACTCTTCTGTCCCGCTTGGTTGCCTCTGCCTCTCCGGTACTTGCCCACACCGCACAGGGATGGTAGCACGGTCGACGTGGTGATGGAGCAGCTCTGCGCCACACTCAACCGAGCTCCACCAATGGACTTCTCCTCCTCCTCGTCGTCGCCACCAGGTGGCACTGCGAGTCTCGGTGCCGGAGCGGCTCGGACGGGCTCTTCGGCGAGGGAGGCCCTGCTGCTGGCCTTGAGGGGGGTGTCGCTGGCCGGAGAGAGCATAGGGGCGCAGGACGCCACCAGCTTTCGAAAAGTGAGGAGGAACGTCGATTCCGTTTTTTTTTTTTTTGTCTCTCGAACAAGCAACCAAGGACAAGGACCCGTGGCTATTTTTTTTTATATTGCCGTTAGTCGCCTCCTCTACCTCGTGTAGTACCTCCTGCAGGGGACGGGTGGTCCTTGCTTGTCTCTACTCGTTTTGTTGATGTGTGTTGTTCGCACTATAACACCGCCATGCTGCGCTGGTGTTACGATTATAGGGCATGCAGTATGTTCGATTTGGCCCGCAACATACGGCATTGTGGTGGGCTGACTGTGAGGATGCTTGGTATCGTGCAGCCGTGCGCATGTTGCTAAATCCGTCTCTCGGTACAGATTGTTTCGTCGAGGTCTGTGATTCGACGGCAGACAGAAACCCGACTAACCTCTCCATGGCACGGTTGTTTTGCTTCAACACCGTTATTCAGGCCTGGATTTCGCGAATGCTTGCCGGGGGCTTTCGAGAAGGAGGTTCGGGAGTTCCCGCGGGCGTCGCCGAGGCGGTGGACCAGATTCGCTCGAGAAAGCGGGAGCGCACGACAGCCCCAGAGCCTGCTGCCGAGAGCGTCGGCACGGGAGAGGTGGAGGAGGCCGGGGTCCTGCTTGAGCTGGAGGACATCGCCAGGGAAAGGTGCGGTTCTGTGGGGTGACCCCACACGACGGGTGGCGTCATCGGAACGAGACACTTTTTGTCCTTGTGCAGGGGGTGGTGGGTGCGTCCATACGACAGTCCCGTGACCGCTGGTGCAGTGCCGATGGGTGGGGGTATTCCGCCGTCTGCGATGATTCCTCTCCCCGTTCTCGACGAGGAAGGTCGTTTAACGACGTGCTCGTCTTTTTAGCTGGCTCTACAATTTGTTTCTCCCGACCCCGCTTACGTCCAGTGTGCCAATCTCGTTTAGTTCTTTCTGCCTCGTCTCTCTCTCTCTCTCTCTCTCTCTCTCTCTCTCTCTCTCTCTCTGTCTTTCTCCCGCTCTCTCACACACATACGCATGCGCTTCTAAAAAGCTCGTGCACAAAGCGCACATTCAGCAATTTTGTTTTGTTCCAACCTCCCTCTGACTGTCTACTTACCAAGCCCCAAGCCCCCCCCCCCTCGAAACCTTCTCATGTCGCCCAACCACAGGACACAGCGCCTGCGAGAGGTGGCCTCGTCGAGATCCTTCCACCTCAAGAGCACCGCAGTCCTCAGAGACCTGGGCTTCGAGCCCTACACCTTCGTCGCGTCGGCAACAGCAGCAGCAGCAGCGGCGGCAGAATCGGCTTCCGGGGGCGGCGACGGCAGCGGCGGTGACGGTGATGGCGAAGAAGGTTGGGATGACTGGGGAGAGGACGAAGCTGGCGAAGGGGTGAGAGAAAGCGTCTTGCGGGGAGTTTAGAGGGGGATAAGCAGCCTACCTACCCCCCACATGATGGAACCCAGCGGCATCTGTACGAAAGTACGCGATCATACTGGAAGAGAAGTGTGCGCTCTGTCGGCATGAAGGAGTCCTCGCCTGGGGTTGTAACCAACCATCGAGCTTGCACCGAGCGCTCGGTTTCGTTGTGGTCGCAGCGGTGAACGGCTCATCCTTGCTTGTATGTCACGGTCGAGCATTCACACCCCTGTCCTGCCCGTGTTGGTCTAAATAGTTTCGCGCAACCTAACCCGCCCAGCGTCCCACACCGCCTCCCTCCGCCCCGTCTCATGTCTCGGGATGGTGGACCGACCGACCGACACACACACACAACCCTCTTGATTCACTCGTGACCAGACCCCGGGCGTCGCCAACGACGACGGGGGGTCGCGAACGGAGCACACCGCGGAGTGCGACACGCTGGTGGGACGCCTGGCCGGGCTGTTGCTCGATCGGACAAGACCGGACGTGCCGGATCTTTACGAGGTGAGAAAGAGCAAGCAATGCCCTGAATCAAGCCTTGGAGATAATTAGAGGGAGGTACCATTTTTCTGATTTTGCCCACCCCAAGTTCGTTGGACCAAGCGACGAGGCGGTTTTTGATCCCGAGCCACCCCAGCCCTCACCGATCGAAAATGACGAGCGCTAGAGAGATTAGGTTTTGATGTCTCTCGCAGTCGTCTGTCGCTCGAAGACGGATGGCGAGAATCAAGTGTGCGCCCTCTTCCCCGATCAATACGCCACTGTCTAGGCGTCCCTGCCGGCTTTGATTTTCCCTCGCATCAAGACTTACCTGACACAAGATTTTTTTACTGACTTGACACCGCAAGACGGAAAGCATCGAGGGAACAGCAATGCAGCTGCCTGACAAGCACGCGTGCGCTCGCTGTTTTCTAGTCACAGGTCTTGCGGCGCGACAATCTGGAGCCGTTCCCGTTCAGTCCCTTGCACTCCCAAACAATCACGCAAACAATACAAACTAACTTTTGTACAAGGCTTTGATTTCGCCCTCTTGTTTGGCCGTTCCGTGTTCGCTTCTTTGGTCGCACCTTGGACGTGCCGCCTGCCGACCGGAAAAATCGATGTTCGAAATGTGGGGGGGGGGAAAAAGGCAAAGGTTGTTAGCCCTGCCTCGGTCGGTCTGGGGCTCCTCTCGTCCGGGCTGAAGAAGCTAGGCAGGATGGGAGGGGCTGGGGGAGGGGTGCACCGGGGGCGGCACAAGCAGAGCCGGTGAGCGGGGTATCTCGACGAAACGGCCACATTATGTAGATAAACTTCGTGGTCGATGTTCTCAATAGTTACGCTCTGGACTGGCTGTTGGTTTGTTTGTCTTGGGTGCGAGCGCCTGCCGTAGTTGTTGTGTGTTGGCGCCAACTACTTTGCTCGGTTGGATATTTCGACTTGGGTGTGCGACACGCGATGGAAAAATGAAAGGTGGTTGCGCTAGTTCTTGGTAACATGAGGCGTCTCCTTTCTTTTGCTTGGCTTCGCCTGAGATGGACGATGGGGATGACGCTGTTGCGTGCCTACCTTTTTCGTTTTGTGCCACCCGCGTGTGCTTTGTGAATGAAATACATGTTGACCCGGTCCTCAGGATGTTCCGGGGAACCCCTTGAGCGCCTCCCTACCCGTCTCCACCATACCTCCTCTTTATCCGCGACGCTCTCCTCCCATCAACAACACACAGCGTTTACTCCTCCTTCAATGCTTGCCCTCCTTCTAAACCTTGACGACTGACGATTGCCTGGACACCTCGATGCCGCGACACTGCTAAATACCTCAACGCTCGTGTCGGAAACCACTGCTGATGACACTAATCGTGTGCCGTTTTGGCCCCCTCGTTGTTTTTCTCGTTTGTTTTCGTGCGATTTTCTCGGCGTTCCACCGCACCCACCTCCTCCCGACCTTGGATGCCCTGCGGCTTTTGTTCTCCAATACCGTCGCCCCCCAACACCCCGCGGCTCGGCACCCTCGCGACAAATTAAAAGTCCGACCGACCGGCCGGTGATAGTTGTGTTCCTAGTCGGCGGCTTCACACCCCTCGAGTTAGCCGAGGTCAGCGGTGTTGTGCGGTGTGCGGCGGCGGCGGCGGCGGCGGCGGGCGGGGGCGGATTGGGTACGGAGGTGATCCTAGCGGGAACGACGGTGTCGACGCCCGATGTGGTTTACGAGCAGATATTTACCCGCCCCCCGGCCGGGCAAACGTGATCGAAACGATCGATCGGCCCTTCATGGACGATGTCCACGTGATTGGACTATCCTGGTGCCGTGGTGCTAAAAACAGACGCGGTCGGGTAGGCTGCCATGGTGGCGTAAGTGTGGGTCCGGCCAACTCGACGTCGAAGAACGTTTAGCAGGCACGTTGGGGGTGAGCATAGATTGCGGAGTAGTGTATTTTGGGGGGCGAGGGTCCTTCAGCAGGAGGGGGCAGGATGTTCCATCCCTGCACTTCAGGGTGGCGCGAAACTTTGACAGCGGATAAGACCGATCTTGACTCGCTTGCGTACCAGGTCAAGGAACCTCGTTTCTGTTTTTAAACAATCATGACTTCGGTGCATAAAGGCACCCAGAAGAACACATGACCCCACCGAGAGGACATGCTGTCATTCTTGCCATTCGACCTTGGGGGCCACGTGGGATGACGTTAACTGAGCGTCAACCAGCAGTGCATCTATTGGCTATGTTATAATAGGTCTGGAGCAAAGCATCGTCACACGATACACTCGAAACAGTCACACGACAAGTTCGCCACAGCGACAGGATGAGGTCACGTGCATCGCCATGTTTTGTTTTGTGGAATCACTTTCCCCGCCCGGCGGGTTGGTCGAAGAACGCCTGCCACATGTTCCAATCCGAGTAGGAACGGTGTCTGCTCCGGAACCAAAAGAGTCTACTTGTAAAAGGAGATCTTGTCTGCGATTTTTTCACCGGAGAAAATTGACCGCGCTAAAAAAATTTCTCCCAGCTCGCGAAAGCTATACGTGCGACCTAGGCCTCGACGGCCCTGTCCAAGAAATTTCAATCGAAGCGAAACCGGCGCCAAACGCAAGCACTGTGTCTTGCTTCTGCCCACATCAGCATCCCTCTTGACGCCTTCGAGTGTTTCTGCTTTTATCTCTTCTTCGCCGCGGCTGAAATCGACTTCAATTATTCGCCCTTGGGCGTACTGGAACCCGCACCCGTACACAAATTAATGTCGATGCGCGGAAGCACCGCTGCCTGTATCGCACGTGTTGTTGGACCAGATTGTACCCAGCCTTGCTTCACCTGCCACCAGTGCTAAAACTGCACACCTCTCATGCACTGAAGTACGTACAACGGGGCTGTCGAATACCACCGGAAAACCAAATATCCTTCGATAAAAGGTGCCCACGCCCACCACAACGTACTCTGCAAGGTTACTGCCACGAACGACACATTCGTGTGATGGAACACCAGCGACACTACAGTTGAGAGAGAGGAGCCGGACGTTGCAAACGGCGGCCCCAAACATACAACGATCGGTTCCACCTCGACCTCTCCAAAAGCGAAAAGGCTTCAACTCTTGCGCCGCTCAGCAGGCCCCTCCGACAGCAGTCATGACCCAGACAGACTGACCCAGAAGGACAGACTACCTCACGGAAGAGCAACCGACGATCAAGTCCGTCGCAAGCGGTGAACAAAAAACCTCGTAGAAACTACGTCCGGACCAGTGAAAAATCTACGGAACCCCCCCCTCATCGTAAGTCAAATTTCACGGCAGAAACGTCAAACATCGGCCGGTCAAAGCAAAACGCTAACCTCATATAAACAGCGCCCAACACTGGTATAGACGTCGACGGGCGAGGTGGTGGGGGGCAGCGAATGCGGCAGTGCTGCCTGACAAGACCAAGGTATAACATACTTACAAGTCTACGGGACGCTTTACGCGGCATATGCAGACATCCCCCCCCCCCCCCCCCAAACCCCATCCCGCCAGAAAACTGTCCCCGATACTGCACACCATTTTTCGAAAAGCCTTCCGCCATAAATGACCCCAACGCGCTTTCAAACCCACAAAAAATATGGTGCGAGAATGGCAATGGCACGTCACGGTTTGTGCTGCAACGAGGACGGAAGCGACAAGACAACCGGCGACCCCATTTGGGAAGGGTGCAAGTACCACGACAGGGGCATCCTACGCGGACAAGGAAGAGGGCAAACGAAAAAGCTTGGCGTTTTTGGGCTTGGTCGGTTTTCATCAAATACAAGTTGCACCGCCAACGCCAGCCAACCAACAACATCTCCAAACAGGGCGTAATGTACTTGTCCCCCCCCCCACCTCAACCCCCCAACCACGCTCCGCCAGCCTCTATTCGGTAAAAGACAAAAAAACACCAGCTCCTCCTCCTCCTCCTCCTCCTCCTCTCCCAAACTACACGGGGGAGCGGCCTTGGCCAATCCGCCGGCCGCCCGGGCTCCCGACTACTCCGCCCTTGACCGCCATCGCGGTGGTGGCAGGCGCAGCAGACCTCAAGGAGGAAACCCCTCGGGCAGCCGGCGATGCGTGATTTCTACCGCCGCGAAGCACCTTCCCTCTGGTTCTTCCTCCTCCCCCTCCTCCTCCTCCGCCCGCCTCCCCTGCGCCACTACCGCCATCGCCGCCTCCGCCGCCGCCGCCGCCGCCGCCGTCTGCTTCTCGGGATAGCTCCGTTTCGAGCTCTACCTCGGAGGACCGCTTCTTCCCCCGATCTTTCTGAGGACCATCAGATTTCGACGACGACTCTGTTGCTGCTGCCGCCGCCGCTGCCGTCGCCGCCGCCACCGCGCTGGCTTGTGCTGCACCGTCGCCAGAACGGCTCCCTCTCCCGGCACCGCAGGCATCTCTTCGAAGAGACTCGCTGTTGTTAGTGCCATCGTTTTTCGTCATTGCCGCCGCCCTCGCGTTGGCGTCAGCGGCTTCTCTGTCGTGACTGGAACACCTGGCGCCGCCGTTTTCGGCGTTCCCCCCATCGGACCGCTGAGGCGTGGCGATGGTGACGCAGTTGCTCTCTGCTGGGCCCTTCCCTTCGGTTGGAGTCCCGGAGTGTTGCAGCGTTACGGTAGGGCTGGGGCGTAGGAAGGCCGGCGGCGGGAAAACAAGTCAGCCAGCAGATCTTAGTGCAGGTGGCGTACTGTACACTGATTTCATCCTAACACATTTTTGGGCATCAAGACGACACACGGACCCAAGAGGTCGCCGGCGACGCGCGGCAGCACCACGCGTGCGGAAAACGTGCCATCCAAGCCTGGAAAACTGGAAGATGCTCCGACCACCAAAATGAGGCCACGAGGCACACAAACGACCCCTTCTTGAACCCACCCACACCACCTTCTTGGGAACAACACCACGACGGCGACCTAAAAGCTGGGAAACAGGCGTTCGCACACATGCACGCAAGAGAGGCTGCAAGAAGCGCAAGCTCACGACGCCCTTACCTCGTCTCGTGTCCGTTCTCCGCGCCGTGACTGCTGCCATGGCGATCGCCGCCGTCTTCCATTCTCTCGCTAGCCCCGCTTCTCCTACCGCTTCTAGCATCCTTTCGGCATTCCGCCCCCTCGACCTCCGCCTCCCCCGCCACCGTTTCCGGTCCTTCCCCGGCCGCAGCCCCTGTCCCCTTCTCTCTCCCGCCTCCGCCTGTGCTCCAGCTCCCCTCCTCTTCCTTTATGCGCACCACGACCCCGTTCCTGCCACCTCCTGCGTCCGCGCCTTCCTTCGCTCGCCCCTTCCCCTTCCCAGCACCGCTGGCTACCGCTCCTGCTACCTCTCCCCCTGCTGCTGGTCCTACTACACCTGTCCCGCCTTCCCCCGCCCCGCCTGGTTCCTTGGGGGGAGGCAGGCTCGCTCGGCGTAGCCGCTTACGCTCCTGTAGGCGCTGGCCGTGACGGTCGCCGCTGGCGGACGCCCCGTTCGGAGCGGTGGAGTGGACGCGGAAGCCGAACACCCGGGGCACGAAGGCTTTGTCGAGAGGGTCCGGGACCAAGGTCCCGTACGTCATGAAGAACAGGTGCGGGAAAGTGGTTCCGAAGTACGCCCCGTCCACCCCTGCCACGCCCGCCGGAAAAAATGGTGATCATGAGATGCGGGGGTACAGTTGCGCGGGTGAGGGTGTTGAGGGAACAGGAGTAGGTAGGCTTGGAGAACGAATCTAGGGCCTTGATCATGGCTGCCACATTTTCCCACGTGGGGGGCGCCACATTTTCCCACGTGGGGGGCGAGGGGGACACACAAGTCCTCCTGAGAGGGGATAAGGCGTTTGATGCACGTCCCTTTCAGAGCGTAAAAAACTGCAAGATGTGACCGACGGTATGCAAGGCGACAGCCTGCTTGGGGACAAAAACAAGAGCAGCGTTGTGGCCGATTGGCAAAACTGACATGTTGACTCTGTCACTTTGTATTTAAAAAACACATCATAAGATACCTCACCTCGATAGAAGGGCCCCAACTCCCCCCCATCCACCATATCGACTCTGCCGCATGTAGACACATGAACCAGATAACCAAGCACTCAACAGCTACAACAGATCAACCCGCCCAGCGAACACACCTTTGCTGGTGGCAGCCACGCAGGTGTGGGATGCGTGATCGAGGATCACCACTAAAGGGCGCGGCGGTGCCACACCAATGTATGCCAAGAACTACAACATACTTTTTAGAAAGCAAACTATGTGGTACAATTGATGGTGCCAAGATGAACCAAACTCACTCTGAGCTGCGTGCGACGGGTGCACGTACACGTCCTGGCACTTGGGACAGTACAGCTTCACCGTTTCTATGTGCGGCTCGTCCCGTACTCCTAGAGGAACCACCGACTGCCCCTTGCAGAGGAAGTGCGGGCAGTTGCCAAATTCCTGAAGGCGGGAGACAGGGGAGACAGGGACGCTCGGCGGTTGATGGCAGGCAATTTTTGGCTGGCAGTTCACGGCAGCGCATGCAGTACTGATCGACCCGTTACAAGCGAGACATCGAACGCATAGGCACGCCATAAACATCTGACAAACACCACAGGGCGCTCTTGGAACGGCCATCGCTATGGAAAATCGTCTAGGAGCGATGTCTCGACAGCAGGACGTATGGCGAAAAGGACAGCAGTTGACATGATCTTGCCTCCAGGGACGTTTCTACGTGCGTGTCTGGTCGATATTCGGACGCCACTTGTCGTCGATATACCAAGCTTCGACCAGCGGCCCACAGCATGAGGTGCTCATGCAACCTACGACAAGCAGGCAACAGCAGAGAGTGCGAGATACTTTTCGGCCACGCCACACCGCGCAAGGTCGTCAAGTCACGGTTGTATGCATTGCTGCCATGGTGCCATGCACACTTAGAAACAGAAAATACTTATACACGCCGGGAGGCCCGGGGACCCCACCGCACCTGCAGCGTGTACTTCGCGTACATCGCCTCCAGGCCGGCCGCGGTAAGCACGTAGCGCGCGTGGATCAGGCCGTACAGCGCGCAGGTAGCCTCCATCAGCTCGTGGCTCGCCTCGTTTTGGGCTGCAATATTGTAGTAGCGTTCGTTGTTGCGGTCATCGGAGTTGGCGGCAGACAAGAATTCACGCGCGTGTTCACAGCAAAAAACATGCAGGGGGCAGGGCAGCATCGCAGAGGGTGTGGGGATAAGAGCAGGTGGGTGTCGTGGAATCAAGTCTGGAGGGTGACACGTTTCGTAAAACCGGTTTCGTAAGCCGGAGGGCAATAACTCCGTATGCAGCCGCGGCCCGCGAACTGGTTCCGGTTATAGAGTCATGTCCGTCTTCCAAAAACAAGCAACATCCCAGCAGGCGACACGACTGTGCTGTCGTCCGAAAACAAATCAAGCACATCAGGGCACACGCGACGCTTGCGTGTCCCCTTAACACTCCCATCGACAAACATATGGTATATTGGCTCCCCCTCTTCGGAGTCTAGTCTTTGTCGGTGCCACTGCTTCAAGAGGGACTGCCGATAGATCCAGCCCAAACCGGTGACAAAGTGCAAGGATTGAACAGTTCAAACGGCCGTTGGAGCTCGGTTTGTTTTGCATGTGGACAACGGCCTGAAACAAAAGAGAGACTGCGGCTACAACATGCATACAAAGTACATGTTCAACAGCGGGCCTCCTCATCAGTCCCCTCGAAACCAGCCGCAAAGTTGTTTGCCGTATGGCCAAAATACATGCGTATGCGTATGCATGAGAACGGATCTATGAATACACGTATCGGGGTTGTATTAACCCTTACGTGACTGGGTTAATTTGAATTTTTTTGTTTTTTTCCCCACAACTGGCTCTCTGCGGCCAAAGATCTTCCAAGCATGCGTGTACACCCGTAAATCACGGCGGCAAGGATGGTGCAGCAGTGGGTCCATGTGTGGGGCTCACAGGGATGGGGACGCGGTATATGTAAGGGTGACGAACAGGAGTACAGTAGTACTACTGCTGTACAGCAGTAGCAGCTATGCGGAGAGAAATAGACTGCTGTACAGCAGCAGCCGTAGTTTCTGAGCAGGTGTGCATGCCTGTCTCCGACAGCAACCATCCGCACAGAGGATGTACCTGTGCAAGTAATACCTGTTGGCACACCTTCCCCACCTCATCCTTGGACAGAGCATACGGCAAGCGCAAATGCTAGCGGTGCTAGATGCCAAGACGCTGACGGGAAACCGCTTCACAGAAGCGCCAGATCGACAAAAAAACGGCCCGCTCATCAGAGAATCGAGACCATCATCCACTACCGCACAAAATGCATAAAAATCGTGATAAATTTAACTATTCTGTACTACAAATAGAGAGCTGTGATCGGAGCTGTGATCGGAGCTGTAGTCCCGAAAACCCTTGCCATTGAGCGAAATTTTGCACACAGCAGACGAACCACCCTTCACTCCCAATATTGGGAACCACACGCACCGCAATCACAACAACATCAAGCACCGAGGCAGTACGTTAGCATCGGCTCAGGTGTGCGCTTTCTCTGCTCTCCCACGCGGATGCGGCACCGGGTTGATCACATGTTCAGGGTGCTGTATGTACCCTCCAGTGGTGGTATTTTGCGTTTTGAATCTTGACAGCTGGTAGGCAGTAGATTGGATCTGGAAAGGATATCTGCCCCACGTCAGAGAGATTAGGCATGGGTGAATAGTATTGTACTATGTGAGAGTTGTGCGCATTGCTGATAAGCGTGCTTTTGGGGTGGGCTGCCTGTGTCTCCCTGCTGGTCTCTTATGTATGTTTTTTGCTCTTAGCCGAGGCACAACGGCGATCTTTCGGCACGCAAAGTGATCGGAGCTGAGAACGGAGCTGAATCGGCCTGTAGTCACATAAGGGTTAACAAGAGCGCTCGCCTTTGGTCCGTCGTAAAATAGCCAAAGCACACATTCATGGATGCGAGAGACTACACATGTGCACTGCGAATTTGTTATACTGCTGTACACAATACCAACACAACAAACCTTGAGTCGAGCAAAACCCACGTGCACTACCACCTCCGTTGGCGATACAACTCGGACGAATTTGAACCTCCGTTGGTGATACTCGGATCAGTCCACACCCAGTACAACGGAACAAGACTTCAAGGGCAAGGCGCTTTCGTTGCAGATTCCAGAGTGGGTGCGGTGCACCCCCAACAACAACCCGCAACCGCACCCCGTGCACGTGTCTTTTTGCGGGTTGTCCCATCTCCTCGCAGGGCACCGGAGGGGGACATACTGCTGTACAAGGCACATCTCCTTTTTCCTCTTACGAAATCTCCAGTTGCTGGCTTGCTGCAAAGAGAGCCGTGAGATCTTTGTAACGCCGACACCCGCACAACTCCCCCTTCACGAGTCGGCGGCGTCCGATCTATCGGTTGCGCGATGCGCGACCCGCGACACGTGCCGCCGATCAATGGCAGAGGCGCGGTGGGGCGTGGAAAAACCTGAGTTTATCCGGGGGCGCGCCTGCCTCGCCTCCGATGGCCAATTTTCCAGTCCCGAAAGTGAAGGTTCTCTATCGCCAACACCACTGACCATGGAGACGCAGAAACGGCCCAAGAACGCCAAGCTACTGCACCAGCACCGCGTTGCCCTCGCTCACCTGTGCGGTCGAGGATCAAGTCCAAGCTGTCGTTTATGCGAGGCACGAAGTGGCGCAGCCCGTAGAGGTTGAACGCATCCTCGATGTAGCCCCTGTCTATCTCGCAAAACATCTCATGTCCCTCCAGGCCGCAAAACCATTGGATCCAGGTGTCCTCCCCGTCGGAGGACGAAGAGTCAGACATCTGACTCGTGGCTCGGGCAGGGCACCCCGCGATACAACGCACACCACCACAAAGGCACAAATGAGGTAGGCAGGTGTGGAAGGTGGAAGGTGGTTGTCGATCTCAACGGGGGTTTCGTGGATTCTTTCGCAGGTATTGGGGGTTCATTCTCACATTCATCGATCTAAGATCTGCCGCAAACAGGCAGGTTCGGCACACGATCCTGGAGCAGGCAAGTGCATATCTGCATATCTACATGCCTGGTACACAGAGATAGCCGTGGATAATCGGCTACCATGAAAATCCTCTATCTAGAGGCTACGTCAGGAACCCTTGTTGAGGAATAACTAGCACGAACATCCATAAGTGTGGTGTCATCAGTTTTGTGTTGCGCTAATAATATAAATAAGAGAGACACACAACACGTCGGTAGACAGGTAGTCTACTACTGATGCTGTAGACATGTATTGTCTCGATATGCTCCGTGTGTATTCCCAATCCTTAAGCGCGACCACGTGACTACGTCCGTACTGGCGGACGCTAGTACCTTCATACGTTTAGACCCCTCTTGGGAAAGCACTTGCTAACCGCCTCCTGAGAGGAAGTCAAAGACGTCCACACTGGCGGGCGGCACAACATTGACAGTTTGAATTCGAATGTTTGTTGGCCAAAAAGAACAGCACTGCTGTCATGACGCTGGAAATCAAAACCGACCCTGTTCTATTCTCCACAGCCAGCCGTGAAAGTCTCGCACCGCACAACAAGACTTCAACGGACCATACTAAAGGTTATTTCTGGTGGAGCGGCGGGTGGAGGGTTTGCTTGCGGTGTACACTTTATGTGTTTGGGGGCATGTCGTATGTCATCAATCAATGTACATACAGAAGTACGCGGTCCTTCAGCGATGGTGCACCGGGCCATGGGGGCGGGAGGCAAAGGGCTTTGGAACGTGTAACGTCCCGACGAACGGCCACCGCATTACTCCCCTTACGCGTGAGTTCAGTGTACATCTCTCTATTCGAGGGGTGGGTACGCGATGCCATGCGTAAACCCCCCAACCAGAAACCGGGCGCGAGAACTAAATGTTTCGACACTTCCGTCACGCAGACAGGTGGTGCTGTCCCCACAAAGGAAGTCTGGATTGGCCATGGACCACGCTTATAAACCCGCGGGGTGCTGTGGTGGGGGGGGAAGAAAAACGGGCGAATCGTTGTGTGACACCAACACATCTTCCCGGTGCCGACACGTGTGTCTTGTCGGCAACGCCTCGCATTCGCATCATGCACGACACGTGTGTCCTGCCGACGACGCCAAGTGTAGTGGTATGCACGCGTGATGAAGTCTGGTTGACCCGTGAAGAAGAACTCACTTGTTGTTACTCTTGTAGAACAGCAGCAGCAGTAGCTGTTGCCTTGGGTATCGGTAGGAATGACACCAAGGGGCACAGGATCCTCTGCACAAGCAGGGGCTACGAGATCCTGTCCCCTGCTTTTTATCCTTCCGCGGAGAGTTACATCTCTCCGCGCCTTCTAGAAGGAACCAAGCTCTTCTATGTTCCGTCTACACATCTGAATCCTATAACAGTTCCCAGGTGGGGCCAAGCTGACACTTTTGCGGACGGAAGATTAATGCAGTCATACAAGACTATGAACGGGTGGGTTATGCAATGACTGCTTGGCTGCAAAGACCACGGGGGTCACCAACTGCAAAGGAAGCACCCTGCCCACCACCATGACACTTGATTCAAGGTAGGGTTCAAAAAGAGTGCAAGTCGAACGACACAGATTGTGTTTGTTCCTCACTCGAGAAGAAGAGTTCAACAGAGAGAAAGGCATGAACACTGCAAAGCCGATATTGTTGGTACCGTTCAAGCCGTTGAACGATCGTGTTCGTGGCGCTACCACCCTCAGCGGTTGGCGTCGAGACTGGGTACTAAGTTTTCCCAGGAACGGCAGATGAAGAAAAGGACTCATGTTTTATGTCACACATACACGCAAGCCCCACGAGCAAGCGGGTCAGACACGTGTGTGAGTGAAGGGACACACACACACCAACTACCTACAACATGGAGCGCTCACCCCAGTATCACGAGCATACCTGCGTGTGCTCTCTCCCGGGGGGGGCGCCCTTGGACCCAACCGCATACATACCCATCACACACGTACTTCCCTTCGCTTATCCCCCTCCGAGGACGCACAGATCGGACTCATATCCAATAACCACAAACAACCCCCCTACTTGATACAATGTACTATCTTGCAATCCTTCACGGGTAGCAGACTTTGACCAAGAGAGAAGAACACCCCTTGAGAAACGTATTTCACAAGAAGACTGGCTACGCATGCAACACAAAGTGTCTCTCCTCGTCTCTAGAAACTATGTCAAGCCGTCAACACAAAAGAATCCTTCTCAGCAAAGTACCCAACATGTATCCATGCTACGTACATCAGAAAAGCGTCGGAACGAAAACGGACTTTTCTGGAAAAACAACGTCAAAGAATTGACACATCTTCGAACAAAACAAAGTTTCAACTACTTCTGCCAATCAAAACGAGCATTCGGAAAGTACCGTGACCCCAACCATTACTCGTCAAAACATGTCAAACCCTTCCTCCAATATAGTGTCCAAGGGACAAATCCAAAACAGCGCGCACCCGCGAATCGGTGTCGTCCCTGTTGTCCAAGAAACGATAGAAAACACACGCAAACATCCATCCATGCAAACAGCCCCCCTGCTGCCACATCCCGAAAACTACCATCCCGAGAGCTTGTATCACTTCGCCAACAACCCCCCTGCTGCGACATTCTGCCAAAATACAGCTTCTAGAAACATGGCCACACATGACACCATGATTTTGGATGCAGGAATAGCAAAGCAAACGAAATCAGAAAACACATGCATAGCAGAACTCGCTGCTAGGAAGGCAGAGAAAACAACAGTATGAACGCGCAGCACGCATGGCATCAAACTCCACAAAAAGTTCGTACCGCATGCAAAGTTCCTCTTGAACTGAAACCCAAAAAAGCACAGAGTGCGTCCGTTCCTCCCTGAAACAGTTCAAGAGAAGAAATCAAACCCAAACCAATGTTATTTTACCGTCCAAGCCTCACACACCACCTACTCGCTGACATGTAACACGAGACGAAGTCTGGGCCAGATGCCGACGATCATTGGTCCATTCATGGGTGGCAGAAAACAGCATAAGCAACACACACGAAGGACACACACCTACACACAGGAACCCCAAAAGACATTCCCACGTCGACCACCCACTTGCATGCCTTTGGAAACCTTCCAGCCCGTTGTCTACAACAACTTTGGCGTACCTACAGGACGACTTCACGCATGCAAAGCAAAACTGCTGAGCATTTTTTGTAATCTACTTCTTCGGTCGCTCCTCCATGTACGCCACGATCCTCGGCTCGGCCATGACCCTCTGCACGAGCGAGGACAGGAGGGGGAACTCTTCCAAGATGGCCGAGGGGACGCTCTCGTCAAAGGTACCGTCCGTGAGCCAGTTCAGCCGTGCGACAACCGCGATGTCGCCGATGGAGAGCTGCGACAAGGAAGCAAGATGCAATGTCGTCGAGACCACGAAATGGACGGAACGGGCGCAAGAATGGAATCGGTCACAAAGGGTCGCCGCGCAACCGGGCCATAGCCTGCGGGTAACGGGGCCCCAGAAAAAAAAAACTTGCGTCCAGGGTGGAAAGAAGCTCGGCGAGAAGAGCGAAGAAGGTACGCACGTGCTTGTCGGCTACACCGACATTTTCTAAAGACCTGAGCACCTCGTAGTTCGCATCCAATGCGAACTATGTACGAGGAGCTTTCTTCCGTACCCATCGATTGAGCTGATGCGGGCAATATGATGTACGAACGGAAGAGCGGGTGAGGGGTGATAGGCGTGGCGATATAGTATCAATGCCACTTTGAGTATGCTATCCTACAATGTTCGTCATCTTCATACCTTGTCGCCGGCGAAGTACTTGCCGCCAGCCAGCTTCAACGCCTTCTCCAAATTGGCCAGCCACCTGCGAAAACCGTTAAATGCAAATGTGGGTGGAGGGTAGACGAGGAGGGGACGGATGTGTGTGTGAGTGAGTGTGAGAGCAACGTTTCCTCGTGTCAAGCTGTGCATCAAGCGCATGGTCACTCGCTGGTCGTACTACCGTTATCGTCACACATTGCATGTGAGCACCTCGTTCGGAAGCACGGTGGTGAGGCGAGCAGCGATTCTCATCTCACCACCGTTTAATGTTTCATTATCGCCGTTCAATGTTTCAACATCACGTTTGCATAGCCGAATAAGTTTTGTGAGCTTGCTGATCGTAAATGCAGACAGCTTCCCCCTAGTACGAGTTGATTACACCAGACGACGGCGGGGGTACTAAGGCCAACGCTGAGGCGGCACTCACGGTGGGAGAAGTTTCTCGACCAGGTCCTTGAGCAATTGCGTCTGCGATCAGGGCAGGAGACCACGGCGCGAGCCAAGACAAAGGAGGACAGAGAGAGAAGAAAGTGTTGCTGTGTCATGGCATCAAATCTCGCTAAGATGGCTGACGGGCCGACCGCAGGTTGGTGTTGGCCACAAGGACCCCAATGTGTACTGCTTCGATGGCGTTCCATGATGTGTACCAACAAAGATCAAGTCGCGTGTGCGCTGACAACTACCCGCGTTGTCACGTACGACAAGGACATACTACATATATTGCCTCGTAGAGAGGTTTTGCAGCAGCGACCCTCTTCCATCAGGACAGCAACAGCGAGGGCGCCAAAGAAATACACGAGGGAACAAATGTTGAACCTCGAAGGTTCGGAATCTACATACTTCGGAGGAGGGGCGCTCGTTCCCATCCGTGCCCTCGAGTGATAAAACTTGCTAGACCATCGTCAAACAATGAACTTGGCTTCGAGGTTCGTGTAGATGCAAGCCACGTTGGGGGGCGGGGGTGGGGGAAGATTGCTTGTTGTTCGTAACACAACCGACCAGTAAGTAGACGCTTGCGAGCGACGGCAACTTGGGGGGGGGAGGGGGTAGTATACATGGAAACATGTTTCACTATTCTGCCTGCCGTACCTTCGCGTCCGCGTCCTTCTCGAAAAAGATGGCTCTCATGTGGCCATGCATGTCGTTTACGGCGTCAGTAGCACTGTCGGCGAAAGCGGCTTGGATGGGGTCCGTGGGGTACAAGTCCCCCATCTTCCCGACGTAGCGGAGAATTGCGAAAGTCTGAGGGATTACCGCTCCATCTACCTCCAAGACTGGCATCTGTTGATACGGCAGAGCTGAGCACGGCGAAAAACAAACGTAGCACACGGCAGGCGAGACACGTGTGTGTGTGTAGGTTTTAATTGTGCAAAAGTCACTTCACTTGTGACAAACGGCGGGACCACAATTAATTGTTCTCAGCGTTGCACGCCTGGCAAGAAAAAGATGATCCGGCAACTTTTGTGAACACCGCGAAATCATCCATCCTGGAATAATCATGCAATGCGAAACTACAGCATCTGCTATGGAGTTTAGTTTGACGCGTCCGTAGTAGTCTACATGTAGACACCTGTTGAGATCTAGCTCTATGAAAAGCTGCTACCTCCAGCACCGTCATGTGCTATGCATACGTGCTACTCTCGCTGGTGCTCCAGGGCACGAGAGAAGAGACTGGCCGCAAACAAGAAATTGATGTGTAGATAGACCGTTTGTAATGTTCGTGAAGAGCACAGATCTCGGCGGGTATCCGGATAAAAAGTAGCAATAGATCTTCGCGGAAGACCAAAATCAAGAACAGAAAACTCCTACCTACATCATATATCCAAATAGACACATCCCAGAACCACCTCTCTCAGCAGACTCACTCGGCTTGAGAGTGGGCCACTCCTCAAACGTCACCCTGTTGTCGATCCATTCAACCCCGCTTTGTGCCAGCGCCAGTCTGAGTTGTTCGCCCAGGGCGGCCTGCGACGCAAACAGTAGGCAAGATATTATACTCTGAACTGGCGGCGTAGTAAGATACATCGCTTGCAAACAGCAGTAAGCGCCGGCCCGCTCGTAAGAAATACCTACTCCCACTAAAGGCCCACTTAACAATATCTCAACGATTGAGCGCAGGTTGTTAGCTTCGTGTGATGCGAGCTCTGTGGTGCCGAAGGCTGAGAAAAAATTCTCAACAATCTGACGACAACGCGTGTAGACTAGAAACTCGTAGCCTCGATATTGTGCGCATGTTTTCTGATGAGCGGGCCGGTAGTGCTGTAGTCGCGACCGCCGAGCGAGGCGGCCTGCAAGGAAAATGGGTTAGAGCTGGATGAGCACCGTGATGACGCCTGAGGCCTTTAAAAACTACCAGCAAGAACGAGCACCAGACGCACAGCACGTGATGAACAATGAACGGACACACACGCTCCGACGGCGGACCATCATCGCCGACGGCGGATCTTATATTATGGGCAACAAATTTTGAAACAAGCGGTGACAATGTTGTTGCATACTCACAATATCGAAGTAGGTCAACTTCATCGGTGCCATGATGATGTCGGTGTCGAGGTGTTGAAGTGCTGGAGCTGGTTTGCTTGGTTGGTTTGTGTTGTGATGTGTGTGTGCGTGGAGGAGGACCTGTCTGTGTGTGTGCGGGAGATATTTGTAGGAGGAAGCTGCGGGAGAAAGGAGGATTCCGCGGGATATAAAAATCAAATTCCTCCGCGGAGGTTTCGCCGCAATTGTTCGGGTTCTTATTGTGTCGAGACGGAACGTGATGAGGCTTAGTCTACGAATAGTCTACCCCACCGGCACCGGCGGTGGTGGGACGAATTCGGCGGGGATGATCAGCCTTATTCGCCCCACGGCTGTCTCGCCCTACAAGAAGAAGAATCGAATCGACACGGCGACATATATAATATGAAAGTTGAAGCGTTTGGCGGCTATCGTGGGACTCATCAATCGGTGCTGCCGCGGCCGGTGGGAAATGACGGATCCACCCGATAAACTGCTGGGGTAGATGGCCTAAACTGAAAGTTATGCCTACGCGGTGATCTCCTACTTCTGTTACTACAGCGTTGGGTCCCGTTGGTTGTTGAAGGAGCTCGTCTGCAAGAATTTTTGAATGAAGAAGGCAGAGAGTTTCGGTATCCCGTGAATGTACAGCAGGATTCTCCAAAAACCTGTAGGAAAACTACATATTGTAAGTACAAACACAGAAAGACCGTTCGAGATATAACCACAGTCGAAGGGGATGTGTAAAATATGTTGGCGGCGTGGCACTACCACCGCGCAGTGACGTTCGTTCTAAACCATGCATGCATATAGTCTAGTCCTCAGAAATGATGAGAGACGTTCTACCACGACACCAACCACGACACCAACCATGACACCAACCACGCGCACCATACATCAACTGGCTGACGATCCGCCACAGAACAACGAGTTTTTTAAGGAGTGGTATGATACAAAACAAACGCGCTTGGCCAGCAAAAAGGGCAAAGTTAAAGGAGTCACTTGAACGCAGTACAAACACTAGCCGGCAGCTACAGAAAATAGTTGCGGCAAATGACAGGAAAGCGTCTAGCGATAAGGTCAGCAGCAGAGCAAAGCAAAATTGACTCTGGAACTCGAAAACAAACCCGGTTCTATTCTCCACAGACAGCCAGCCGTGAATCTCGCACCGCATAACAAGTCTTCAATGGACTATATTATAAAGCTTATTACTGGTGGTCGGGCGGCGGGTGGAGGGTTTGCTTGCGGCGTGTGTGGTTTGGGGCAAACCGTATCTCGATGTACTGTACTGTAGTACGGTTCGGTGCACCGGGCCATGGGGGTGGGAGGAAAAGGGCTTCAGAACGTGTAACGTCCCGACCAACGACGAAAACATCACTTCCCGTACCCGTGAAATCAGTGTACCTCTCTCTATTGGAGGGGTGGGTGCGCGATGCCAGGTGCAAACCCTCCAACAAGGAGCTGGGCGCCAGAACTATCGCCAAAGCCTTACAAATTTTTCGATACTTCCGTCATGCAGACAGATGGTGCTGTCTCTTGTAAAAGTAAGTCTGGATTGATTGGCCATGGACGAGGCTTACAAACCCGCCGGGAAAAAAAAATCGGGTGAATCGTGGTGTGAAGCCAATACATGTTCCCGGTGCCGATACGTCTTGTCGGCAACGCACCTCGTATTCACGTCATGCACAGTTCCCAGGTGGGGTCAAGCTGACACTTTTGGACAGACCAGTCTAAAAATGCAGTCATGCAAGACGATGGGTCATGCAATGACCGCTTGGTCGCTAAGGCCACGGGGGTCGCCAGCTGCAAAGGAAGCACCCTGCCCACCACCATGATACTTGATTCAAGGTAGGGCTCAAAAAGAGTGCAAGTCGAACGACACAGATTGTGTCTGTTCCTCACTCGCGAAGACGAGTTCAACAGAGAGAAAGGCATGAACACTGCAAAGCCGTTCTATTGTTGGTACCGTTCAAGTCCTTGAACGACACAGAATGTGTGCATTCCTCACGGAAAGAATTCAAGAGAAGGGGGCACAAATGAACACTCAATTCTACCGTCCAAGCCTTACACACCACCTACTCGCTGACAACTCAATCTTGGCCTGTAACATGAGATGAAGTCTGCGCCAGACGCCGATGATCATCGGTCCATTCATGACTGGAAGAAAATAGCACAAGAAAAAAACACGAAGGACACACACCCTACACACAGGAACCCCTGAAGAAGTTACCACGTCGACCACCCAACTGCTATGCCTTTGGAAACCTTCCTGCCGGTTGTCTACAACAACTTCCGCCTACCGCTATTATAGTACAATTTCTGCGTACCTACAGTACAGAATTTTCCGTGGTAGCACGCTAGCTCAACACGCGTGCAAGGCAACTACCATTGAGCAATCTCTGTCATCTACTTCTTGGGTCGCTCCTCCATGTACGCCACGATCCTCGGCTCGGCCATGACCCTCTGCACGAGCGAGGACAGGAGGGGGGACTTGTCCAAGAGGGTCGAGGGGACGCCCTCGAAGGTACCGTCCGTGAGCCAGTTCAGCCGTGCGACAACCGCGATGTCACCAATGGAGAGCTGCGACAAGGAAGCAAGAAGTAATGTCGTCGAGACCACGGAACGAACGTAAGAAATGAATCGGTCACACAGGCCGCAGCGCAACTGGGCTACCGCCTCCGGGCAACGGGGCGAGAGGAAAAAAAAATGCTTCCAGGGTGGGAAGGATTTCGGCGAGTACAGTAGAGTGAAAATGGCACGTACGTGCTTGTCGGCTACCAAAATATTTCTAATGACATGAGCAAGTTCTAACTCTTGTGCCACACCAGTATCGGATACAAGATGTTTCCTTATGCACCCATCGATTGAGCTGATGCGAGCGAAAGAGCGGGTGAGGGGTGGTACGCGAAGCGAAAAAAACAATACCCTGAACACTGAAGAGTGTGCTACAATGTTCGTCATCTTCATACCTTGTCGCCGGCGAAGTACTTCCCGCCAGCCAGCTTCAACGCCTTCTCCAAATTGGCCAGCCACCTGCGAAAACCGTTAAATGCAAATGTGGGTGGAGGGTCGACGAGGAGGGGACGGGTGTGTGTGTGTGTGAGAGAGTGTGAGAACAACGTTGCTTCGTTTCAAGCTGCGCATCAAGCGCATGGTCACTCGCTGGTTCTAATACCACCGTCCTCACGCTCTGCATGTGTGAATACCTCGTTTGGAAACACGGTGGTGAGGCAAGTACTAGCGACTTCCCACCTCGCCACGGTTCAACGTTTCGTTATCGCATATGGTATGCATGTAGCCGAACACGTTCGTTGTTGAACATCCAGATCGCAAATAAATGCACACAGATCCCCCCCCCAGTACGAGTTTGATTATTTCAGATGAAGGCGGGGCGGGGGACAAAGGTCAACGTTGAGGCGGTACTCACGTTGGGAGAACGGTCTCGACCAGGTCTTTGCGCAGTTGCGCCTGCGATCGGGGCAGGAGACGTCGGCGCGAGCAAAGACAAAGG